AAATAGACAAAGAGAAATTCGTTAAATTGCTTCAGCGGTGTACGTGTTTAGGGAAATTATTACGTTCGCGATGTTACGAATTATACTAGAGGGGTTAGCTCTGTACAGCACCATAAATTTCAGTGCAAACTTCGTTGAACCGGGAGACCAAAGAAACTGCTATTATTCCAAAAAGAATAATTTAAACGACAAAAATAATCGAAACTTCTCCGCGTGAAACGACAGGTTGGATAATTTCGTATTAATCTATGCAACAAAATGAATGTACGAGAACAATGTACAAGGAAGCAATATACTTTCGACATATAGACACGTATGACAAAACTGAGTATTATGGAAGTGAAATCTATAAAATTGCAGTTTTTTAAGAATACATTTTCTTCAACTTTGCGAATATTTAATGAACAACGGAGAAATTTTTGTTCGAATAAACCGTAAGTTGTTAGCTTCGTAACCGAAGCATCGAATGGAAAAATGATACGTGTAAATATTAAGCGGCGTGTTGTTTATTCGCGTTTCAGAAATCTTGGACGCCGGAGATGCATCCGGCAGATTGTCCGTTTAATTTAATTATTCAGGAACGAGCGAGTTTCACAAAGCGTTCCCCGGTTGGTACTCTTCTTTATCCCTGGGAGCATACGTCGTTTCTCGCGCTACTTTCGCCCGAAACAAAGCGTAAATCCGACGAAAATGGGCGGATACACGAAAATCGAACGCAGAAATCCGGGGATTTCCGCATGAAAAATCTCAAGTCTCCGCCTCCCCCCCCGCCTGGTAACTCGCGACGAAATATTGTCTGACGAATGCTTCCGCGTTCTTGTTGACTCGTTCCTCGTTGGCGAAATCGCGCGGGCGATATTTTGTCTCGCGTCGCGACGCGTCGTCGAATATTTTGAATTTCCCTGTGATTGATCGGGGTCGAGGGCACTCTTCTCCTCGGAGAGCGCGGCACTCAAAGGTACGATTTTTCGATATCCGTAGGTAATTCCGAAAAAAGCAGGTCGCGCCAGTCGTAATCGATGAGGTATCGCCGCATGAGAAACTCGAAAACATTTAAAACAACCCTGGCCGAACGAGAGCTACAAATTTTATCCCATCGGTTCCTTAATGCAGCTATATTTAACGACTTTGCTCCGTCTAGCGAGAGCAAACAAGCATTATTGTTAAGAAAAAAGGACGAGTTTATTTCTCTGGCACTGGATACATATACTTTCATTGCCTGCTGAGAACGTTCGAGTTACAAATGTTTGATTTGTCTCGAATGTTTCGTTGCATTACATATTTTTATGTCCAACGGAACGTTTGTGTACAGCCATATTTTTGCTCGTTTTGTGTCTAAGTTTGTTATTTTATATCCTGACCTCATCAACAATTATGCTCATGAAAGAGACATACCAGAAGTTCTTTCGATACGAAGCCAACTTGATCGCTCATAATCGAACGTAAACGAAAGAATTAATGAGATAAAGGTTACAGGAGCATCGGGCCAAACGCTAATTACGAAAGTTAATTGCATCCCGCGTCAATGATATTAGTCATGATAATTTCATGTTTCGCCGGCCGGGACAAATTAAAACACAATGTTACCGATCTCGTATGCGGATTGATGTACAGATACATAGATCCTAGCGCGGATTAAATTTTAGGATTAGCCTGGATATTGAAACTCAAATTGATAGAAGATACGGAATCTCGAGCTCGCGTATCCAAAACCAGATAAATCTGTTTCGATCAAAATTGAAATATGTTACGTCACCGTGAGAGCGTGACATTAATTACTCTGACATACTGTAGGTATTCTCTCGCGCGTTCCACGTCAATACGTAATACGTAGTTATTGAAGCAAACGATACAAAGGTACGGATTTTCGATTAAAACGAATCGCGATATTTTAATTAACTAATGCCTCCTTTCGGGTTAACTTCGATGAACGGTGTTTCGGAGTTCATTTTGCGAAACTGATCCGCTTTGCGGTTGTGAGTTTCTTTGATTTGGTGACCCAATTCTTACTTTTAAATTCCTTTGTTTCCAAAAACATTCGTTCCAAAATTTTACCTACAACGTGTAGCTGAAATAATAATTCTAATGCTATTGCTGAAAGCTTTTGCTTAAATTTAGAGCCCACGATATCGTATCTATACCTAGTGGTAATATTGTTCACTAACCTCAGATATTTCGTTATTTAAAATAAACAAAAGTCCAAACAGAGCACTATATTTTTCTACCTGCGTTTGTATCAGCATTGAATTAATTTTAGTGGTATATTTCACTTGTGGAAGCAATACTTATCGATAATATTATATATTTTCGTCGAAGACGGTACAGGGTTACTTCAAAATCAACAACCCGTTTCCCATTACTACCAGTTTTACCCAGCCCCGTATTTAAAGCCAGCTCTCGTAAATAAAAAAACGTAGGTCGTAACGTGACAATTCCCAGCGTTAAATAATTACCTTCGATATTATCTGCGCGTAAAAATTAATCGATTTTCGTTGAACGGAATAAGCGAATTCGAACGTAATTAGTATGCAAACCCTCGCTACTACATAAACAACGAACTGGTATATTTCCCCGTGATTTCGATGACCCGTTCGACGGTTCTTACTTTGTCATTATACTGTACTTTTACAGATTTTAATAAAATATCGCGTCGACGTTCGATAACTGAGACGTGTTCGACCTTAAACGCTGAGGCATCTCCAATATCCCAGGGGTTTACCAAAGCCACTTATTACGCTAAAACCACGCGTTGTTTTTCCAGGATAAACAGTCGCAGACAACCCTTCCGATAAATGCACCGTATGCACTCGCATACTCCGGTCGAATTATCCCTTATCCCATCTTTCCCTAAAATCTCGAGGCGTGGAAGTTACTTTTAGACGTCGAAATTTTAGAAAGTGGCCCTCAGAAATATTTTTTTTTTTTAAGAAAAATCCGTCGAGGGTTTCTTCTAGCAGCGGTTTTGCAATGCATCGATGAATTCTGCGGTTCAAAATGGAACCGCCGCTCGGAATCGTGTCTGGGAAACGCGCGCAGAATCAATGCTGGATCTTCTGCATTTGAATAATTGAAAAGGGCTCACGGCAGATCTGAAATCGTTGGAATGAGATTAATTAAGCTCGCTCGGCTACTCTGCACGTGTACGAGATGACAGCGGGCGCGTTAATGCTATGTAAAGTGCATTATATACGTACACAAACACACGCAACGGCGGAACGTTTAATTGGATTATTTTCTAATTTCAATCGGAACTTTCCTGCTATTTCGTTCCCCGCCGGTCCCCCCCCGTAAATCCGTCCGGTGAATGTGCATCGCTTAAATTCCCTTCCTTTACAGACGCCGATTAAATCTGATCGAATAGTTTAATTACGTTTAATTAATTCCGATGTAATTAACACGGAGATGTAAAATTTTCGTCTACCAGTCGGCTTTCAGATCGAAATTGTTCTAATCCTCACAGACGATGTGCATCTTAACGATTTAACAAATCACATAATTTTAAATATTTCCTACAAAATTTATTATGATAAATGTACGACTATCGAATCGCTAAAGTTCCCTTTATTTTGTCGTGCATCCAGTCTAATCTACATTGCAGTGTTCTATTCTCCTAATCTCTCAGTTGCTATTAACGTGTATCATAAACCCATATTGAAGTATGTTTGCGTGGTTGCACGGGCAGAGCACTTTAAAGTGCGACGTTACAGTATTACGATAATCTACCTAAACGCGTCGTATTAGAAACCAATTTTTTCTAATCCTCTTACTTCGGATCAGGCTTCCACGAGAGAAACAGTACAATATTTTTAGGCGAACAGAACTTTCTCTAAAACTTGTTGCTAAAAATAAATAACGCAATTAATTAGAATAAATAACGCGGATTAAAATCGATCGCGACTCCCTCTTTCATACGCGAACTTTTATTTCGACGAAGCTTAATACTATTATCGATATAACTGTCCGCATATTCATTGGCGTATCAACCCATCATATTCAACTTTAAAATCTTCCGTATCGTTTTTAAATTTGAATAATCGACTCTCCGTTTCGCGAAATATTTTTATAAAACACGCGAAACTGTTCTTCTCGTCCGTCCGTATTATCATATTTCGGATCGAACGTTTCTTTTTTCGTTTAATTACGTTCGAGGGAGTTTGAAGTCAAAACGTTTACGAAGAAGCACGCGTCTTTTATTATTTTCCGTTTAAATATTTCGCGCAACAGATGCTACGGCGAAGGCTATTAATCAAACAGCGCCCTGTTTGCTTCGCCCATGCATTTCCGGGAACGCGTGCACTCTTCAGTTTGCAAGTTGCAAGGCCAGCTGAGGGAACTTGCATTTCTTCGTCGCTCGAAGGAATGATCCTTTAAAGACGGGTAAATTGAGAAATCGATCACGAGTTAAAGGGGAATGTGCTGGCGCAGTATCATGTAATTTTTGCTGAATCGCCGATCTCGCTAACTGATCTCTCGATCTCTCGCCAGTACCTCAGGGAACCATTAGACGAGGGCCATCACTTCGCTCTAACCAAGTGAATACCTCAGTGACGCCATTCGCCTCGACTTGTCAAAAATTTCAGAAAAACAAGACACCTAATATGTCTTAATCAACTGGTGAAATACACTATCCCAGTGATCACAAGTTCATTTGTTTTTATTTTATAAACACTGGAAAATATCAGCCTCCGCACAGAAAGTTATTCAAACTAAATACAACAAAATTGAAACTTCAGGCTTTTGAAGCTCGTGCAGAGTACTGAAACACACAGAAAAATTCTTTTAGATGCAATAAAAAATGTATGGCCTCTTAGGAATGCCATCAACGCCGATTCCCATCTGATCGAATATAACAGAGAAGGTAATAATCGTCACACTTTTGATCACGATGAACAGAAGGTGATTGTAGGTGGCATTGATCTCCCAAGAGAAGAAAATTAATCCTAAGTATAAACTCTCACACACACACAGAACATGGTGCTAACGCGAAATTTCTTTTATAGTTCGATGCGGAGGAGGACCTTGGCTCGGGCGATCTTGATCCCGAGCTGATCGACGGTTCGGGGAATATTGACATTAATAAGATAGACGTGAGTTGCAAGATGAAATTGAATTTCGTTGGAACCTTACTGACAATACCGACTAATTATTTGTTCCGCAAGTGGCGGCGCGACTAACACGATCGAATTAATGTAAAGTTTCGCGAACGAGACACGAAGTTCGATGTTGTGTCGTGGCTGGAACCGGTTTTCAAGAATAACTTTTCATCACCTGTGGGAGTTTAAATCTGATGAAGGAACTACCTGGAGCGATAATGACCGATTTTGGGGAAACTCTGTTAGCCTTTTGAGTAGCCTAAAATTGTTTAAGCAGCCACCTGATGTCTCTTAACACTTTGACTGCCACGTCACCCATATGTGGGTGACAGGATTTACCACCATGATACTAGAAAAATTAATTCTCAAGTTAAGACGCTGAGGGAAATAAATTTGGATGGAATTTGTGAATTTTAACAAAGTTACGAAAATAAGTACCAAAACATATTTTAGGTTCTGTAGCTTACAATGGTGTAAAATCAAAATTTTAATCTTGCAGAATATTATACAGTTTTCATCTGGCAGTGAACGTGTTAAACCTATCACATTAAAAAATATACCGAAATAGGTTGATCCTTCTGATAGAAAACTTTATTTTGTATTTTGGTAAAGAGTTATATTTCTTATCTATTTTGCAAAATATCGATTAACACGTTACCTGAAGAATCAAGAAAAGTATTTTTTTAAACTGTCTCCACAGGTAGATTCTTTGTCGAGAAACGAGACTGGTCGAATATTTTTGATCACTTTGCAATCCTCATAATCCCTTTGCAAAGTCTCGTAAAAATCGGTCATTATCGCGTAGCTCCCTTGCAAGTTCCGATAAAACGACCAACGCAGTTCGTGGGCGACGAGAAGTGTTCAACAGCCCGATACAATGTTTCGCGCGGATGCTTGTTACCTTGTAATTGTGTCTAACTTTTGTAACCCGCACTAACAGCAGCAACTCAAACTACGTTGGATTTTTCCTGTTTGTGAAACCGAACTTTCGCTTTAACGCAACTCGATCGTGCAACGTTCGATAACACCTGGGCGCTTGCATCGCGATAAAGGATTTAATTAAATTTGTTTACATTTTTGTGTTCGTTCAACGTCTCATCCGACGAATTTAAGCAGAACGAAACGACGCTATTTTATTCTTTGCGAATTCGAATCCGAATTCGCGTGTCACTGGTCACCAATATAATTTTTATATAAACCAGCAGCTCTTTCTCTGACATTACTATTGAGATTATCGATTTCCATTCTTACTTATTTCTGTATTTTTGAAAGGTGGTTTTAAATTAATGAATCGAAACGTTGATCGACGTTTGAATGAGACTGTCAAATTTGGCATCCGTGTCATTTCCGCAAGGTCTCCTGCCAATTGAACTTATTTTATCGGGAAACCTGTCACATTTTTATTTTAGTGGAACTGAACTGCCAAATGAGGTCGAGCAAAAGAGACGGCTTTTTGTATTTATATTCGCGTCAACCATCTGTTCACGGTCTAACCAAATAGTACAAAAGAGAATGGAATACTAAATAAAAATAACAATCTGTCACGTACGTGCTTTTTCCATCTCGTAGAATTATTTCCACACTTCGTAAACTCTTTTAATACTTCGCGGGATAACATTTCCGTTTAATTAACCGTGTGAATTTTATTTGCATCGATGGACCGTTGAAAAATATACAAATATCGAAACTAAATCACATATATCGTTCGATAGTATGAAATTTGAACGAACGTGTTCTTTAATCGGTTAAAGGATAAAATAACTGTAATCCTTTTCCAGCAGTTCGATCGATTAAATATTACGAGTTCAATTTCTGACTTTACTGTGATCCGAAAATGTCTTGGATCCGTTTGTTCGACCTCTTATTGCGACTTACGCGGGAGTCTTCCGCGTAAAACGTTTTAATTGCGACTCGTTGAAGAGACACGGTCGTAAGACGATTCGACGTTTCACAAAGGACTCCCGCGAAACCTGTTCGACGTTAAAAGAAAACCGCGAACTACTTTATGGGGATAATGTCCCCCTCGAACGCTGTGTGAATAACGTTGGAAATTCCAATGTGGGACTTACGTCGACGTTTACGCCTAAAACTCGGAGGACTTCGGCCTTTTCGTCATCATTATAGAGTTTCTCTTAATCCGAACGAAGTTCAAGGATCCAATCGTTTCCCAAACTTGCTCGATCTATTAAATCTTTTGACGATTAAATTTAACGTGGCGTTAAATCTTGAGGGAATTTCGAATAAGCTCGTGGAACTTTCGGTGTAATATAAAATCTCAGGCTCCTTGATATTCAATTTAATACGATATTTGCGTGCATCAGGACCTTGGTGCTTTCGTTCTTCAATTATCGAGTGTAAAACTGTTAAAATTGAATCACTAACCGTGGAAATAATCTACGAGTCAAAGGTATGTTTTTTATTTGTAGAAGTTTCGCTTGTTTCGACAAATCTGTGAGCAGCTACACACCGAAACGAAACTACAACAAGTCTTCGAAAATCGATTACAAGACCGTGACAATCGGGCGCGTCAAATACGAGATACTCGTCCCATCTAGCCGAGGAGGAATCAGATTATTCTAATGAAACTAGCGAGCAGCAAATCGTCCAGGATCTAAATCTATTCGAAGGTTCATCAAAATGCTATTGCCTCAAAGGTATTTCCTTCGGATCACGGTCCTCGACCCGAACTCCGGCATTGACTTCCCGGCAGACTGTACAGACAACGGAACAGAGAGCAAGCTTGCTCCGCTGAGGAATTCACAGAGGAGTCGGTCGCGCGTGGTTGGGCGATAGGTGGTGCCGGAAAGGCACAAGGAGAGGGCAACGGTGCAGAGAGAAATAGAAATAGATAAAAAAGGGACAAAGATGGATACGGAGACGTGGAAAGCACCGTAGAGAAAGAGATTAAGGACGAACTTTGGCTCCTGCCACGTAACCACTTACGGCGGCAATTAAACGCGGCGATCCCGCTCCATCGAAGTTAAACTTACCAACTGGAATTGACTTTGATTTGTCCTGCTGGCCGCAGCCTGGACCCTCGAAGGATCCTCGTGTGTACAGAACTTCCGAATAAGATCGTTGATTTCGACCCTCTGCTTTCTTACTCCTTGGGCATCCTAAATATACCACAGTGTGGATGGAAAGATGTTTTAGTAGAATGTATACTTAATCTAGAAATTACAGTAATTAAAAATCAGAAACGAATTTTGAAGAAAAATCGACAGGGGTTAGATAGACTTTTTCGGCGAAGTTAAAAGGTTTCATATCGTTCTAAAAAAATTATTTTTGGTTGTAAAGGTCAATTACTATTATTTTTGGTGAAAAGATATACCCCCGAAATCCTACTCACTTTTGAGAAAAAAATTCCAATAGGTAGACAAATTTTTCGACGAAATTAAAAAATTTCAAATCATTATGGAAAAATTATTTTTAGTTACAGGAGTCAATTACAATCATTTTTGGTGAATAAACATACCCCCGAAATCCTACTCACTTTCGAGAAAAAAATTCAGTAAGCTGGACAAATTTTTCGACGAAATTAAAAAGTTTCATATCATTCTAAAAAAATTATTTTTGGTTGCAGAGGTCAAGTATAATCATTTTTGGTGAATAGACATACCCCTGAAATCCTACGCACTTTCGAGAAAAAAATTCCAATAGGTAGACAAATTTTTCGACGAAATTAAAAAATTTCAAATCATTATGGAAAAATTATTTTTAGTTACAGGGGTCAATTACAATCATTTTTGGTGAATAACTATACCCCCGAAATCCTACCCACTTTTGAGAAAAAAATTCCTTACCGAAAATATAATGTCTGACCATATATTGGCACGTTTCACTGAAATTTCGTACGTATGTTTAACTCCTTACCGTGGCATTTAGCTGGACGAAATCTGGGCCCAAACGGTAGGCGACAATGCGTGATGAACAGACCAGACTGATGCTAAACTGCTTTGTAACAGAGATTATAAGAATCGTGACCAACTCTTGTGGCGTACCGATAGGAACTAAAACTCAATCACGATCGTCGTTTGTTGTCCCCGAGCCTGGCTCGTCGTGTTTACGTTTGGGCCGACCTTCTGTTCGCGAGTCTGGCTCGTGATATTCTGCTTTGGGCCAAAATATTCATCGAGTCAGACTCGTTAAAGTATGGGAAGCATTTAAAATATTATAACTCCTGAACGGATTGAAGGATTTTAATGTTTCAAAAGGCAAACAACGCGTATTTTAGTGAGGAATATGTCGAAATTCTAAGAATGTCCGAAAAGTTGTTCCTTAACCGCGTAAAGTAGAAAAAACCCCATAAAAGTAGTCCAATTTTCAAACAGCCATAACTCATACAATAGTGAATATATTTCAATGGAACTTTTTTCTGAAATAGAGCTCATTGGTACCTACAAAAAAGTATTAAACAACTTTCCCGTAGCGCGTCAAACAAAATGACCAAAAATCAAAAACGAATTTTTAAGTAAAATTGACAAGGGATAGGTGCCTAAATTTTTTGGCGAAGAAAAAAAGTTTCAAATCGTTCTGAAAAAATTATTTTCAAGCGCGGGGGTCAATTATAATTATTTTTGTTGAATATACATATACTCGAAATCCTACGCACTTTCGAGAAAAAAATTCCAATAGGTAGACAAATATTTCGGCGATATTAAAATATTTCAAATCTTTATGGAAAAATTATTTTCGGTTGAGGGGGCCAATTACAATCATTTTTTGTGAATAGACATACCCCCGAAATCCTACGTACTTTCGAAAAAAAAATTCCAATAGGCAGACAAATATTTCGGCGATATTAAAATATTTCAAATCATTATGGAAAAATTATTTTTAGTTGCAGAGGTCAATTACAATAATTTTTGGTGAATAGACATACCCCCGATATCCTACGTACTTTCGAGAAAAAAATTCCAATAGGCAGACAAATATTTTGGCGATATTAAAAAATTTCCAATCATTATGGAAAAATTATTTTTAGTTGCAGGGGTCAATTACAATCATTTTTGGTGAATAGATATACCCCCGAAATCCTACGCACTTTTGAGAAAAAAATTCAATAAAGAGAACAAATTTTTCAACGAAATTAAAAAATTTCAAATCATTATGAAAAAATTATTTTTAGTTGCAGGGGTCAATTACAATTATTTTTGGTAAATAGACATACCCCCAAAATCCTACGGACTTTTGAGAAAAAAATTCTTTACCAAAGACATAATGTCTGAAATGTTTCTCCGATCTTCCGATTCAAACGTCATAGAGAAACTATGCGATCGTTTAGGTAAATGAGGTCAGGAAACATTTATAGAGACCCCTACAAATGGAATGGAAAAGTCAAATGTGTTTAAATATTATTTTCGTGTAGAACGAAGATCAAAACATGCTGAAATTTTTTAAAATTTCCTGAGGCCATATATCAAATTCATTTTTACAAAGAAAATGAAAAGACCCTTTCGGAAGTATTATTAAGTTTCTTTTAATAGTGTCCCATCTACTCTAAATGTGGGACAGTTTTATTCTGCATGCGTCATTTCCTTTATTCCTCTCTCTTCCTTCGCGTTGTTCAATATCTAAAGTGAAATGTCTACTTTTGAATTCAGTATGGCATCGATTCCCGAACCGTTCGCTAAAGATATATATCTTTTACTGTTCGCGAGTTCGACCCTGTCCGTATAAAGTAATATTTTCACTGGGAATGGATATTGATCGCTCGATCAAAGACTCTATAAATGATATCAGCGAATCGACAAGTCGAAGAGAAACAACGTTTCGCTGTCGGGTGCTTCGAGATTTACGATACGTGCTTGTTAACGCAAAAAATAAAGAAAAGCTCGCGTACGTAGTACGTAAAACGCGTTTCTTTTCCTACTTTCTCACGACACAGCGATTCGTAACGTAAAGAAAATACGTATTTTCTTTATTTTCCCTTAAACTCGGTTCTAACAGTGAGATTTAAAGAAAAACCAGGACTCTAGTTGACCGATCGGACGAAAATAATTAAGTATACTTTCCTTCCGGTTCCTGACACCGATCCCTCGATGGTTTCCTGGGCCAAACCGAGCCGTTCGTGCGAACTCGTTCGTAGTTGGTATCCCTGCTAACTCAGGAAGAGCCGAAGAATTTATTTCACCCGTAAAATCCTACTTCGGAGAAAAGCTTCCAGAACGTACGGTGAGATGCAAAGACGCAGCCGTGCATGGTGGAGCTGATCAGGATATACGTATACCGGGTGAACGAATTCGATAGAACAGCCGCCGGTTGTATTCGTCTTTCCTTTCTTACGTGTTATTGCGATTGGCCCGTCGGTTTCACGTGCGCTGAAACTACGATGCGTCGATCCACCTACGAAGACGCGCCTGTTCTTTTGCATTAATACATCGTTCACAAATGTTCGGTACCAGACGCTTCTGGCCAATCATTCTCCCTGCAATTCATTTCAACTTTACATACATGCGATTGAAACACTTTAATAATACTAAATATAATCGATTGTTTGATGAAAGCTGCAATCTAATTTGGGGAACCTCTGAAATCTATTTTTAAGAGAAAATTCACTTTTATAAGGTGCTTAGAAGCACTTAATAAAATCAGTAGCTTGGTATGAATCCTATTGTTTTAATAAAAATGAAAGTTTTGCAATTTTCGTTGCTTTCAAGAAATAATAGAAATATGTTTATTTTAGAATTTTCTGTCGAGTAAAAATACTTCTGTTTAATAAAATGGAAAACATACGTAAAACTGCAATAAACATAATATTTTCAATGAAATACACATAGCCTGTATTCCCAATGCTCCATAAAATTGAAAAATCCATTTGCTGCATTCTAAACTTTATTTTAGTACGACGCAAAATAATTTTAACGATCGATAGCGGTTCTTATAGAAAGCAGTGGATTAAACGACGTTCTAGAAAGAATAAATGCTAAGTAGTTTTTATATTATATTGCCTGCGGGAATAGAAAAGCCACGGACCACCATACGTGCCAGTGAACGTACAGTGTACCATAGCTGTACAATATTCTACTGTTTATGAAGTCGTATATCCGCGTAGGGAAATTCTGAGAGACGAATGCAAAAAATTATTCTGACATTTTTCACGTGCCGTAATTTATAAGGGAAGGTAAGAGGCGTGAGAAATAAAACAGTTGAAACGATGCGAGTAAGAGGAATATTAAATTTAATTCCCCTATCTATTTAAAGGAAAACATAATACCAAAAGCATCGTAGTTGTTCACGAATTTATTGCTCTCTATTGTACCTGAACGTTATATTTTCTTTATTACACCCTGATATATCATCAACGATCGATTATTTATAACATTGACATTTTGGCGACAGGTGTCGATCTCGATACAAAGAATTTATGAATAAAATCGAAGGGCGGATAAAAAGAGAACTCGTTACGCTTCGATCAAATATTTTAGAATATTTAAATTTTTAATTAATGCATATTGTCGAATCAATATTCCGATAATAAAAAGACTGTTCCATAAAAAAGGAACAGCTCGGCCCGATATATCTACGTCATTACTAATAATTATTGGAAAGTACTTAGAGAGAATATGTGGTAACCGTTTCGCTTGATTAAACTGAAACTTCATTAATCACCGTCACTCTACACGGTATCATTCATTTTTCGAGGAGGGAAAAGTTGCGGCTAGAAAAACCGATCGTTCAATTTTAAATGCTCCAATTATACTCAAGTATGGTTAACTGAAAGTATCAGTTATTAAATACAATGGTACTTTACAGTAAAAAAATGAAATATGGAAAAGTTATTATATGTCTTCGTTCTTTATAAAATTGCAAAATAAATGATTAGTTCAAGAATGTTGTTTATTATCTTCGAATTCGACGATAAAATGATCGAAACGCTCGATGTAAAAAAAAGATGTAAGCTGATTGTTAATAACGCTTTTCGAAAGTTACGTAAAACTATATTAACGTGAAAGCCAATGATGGAGATCGGAAAAATGGCACGATTTCGCTGCTTTTCGAAGATAAATAAATCGCGCGAGCGCAGTGCGCAATCAATCACAACCATAAGCGATGAAACTCCCACGCCGTTCCTTTTATCCTCCTTTTCTTTTTACTATATAACGACATATAAATCACGTTTAGTGTTCTTATTCACCGTCCCTTTTTACCATCCGTTTTCAGATCGGACGAGACGATGACGAAGACAGAAGCGAGGAAAGCAATCCACCGCCATTCATCACACCTCCTCCTCCCAATCCGGACTGTGAGTAATCGCTAAGAATTCGCGGATTCTATATAATCATAATTTCGTCGATAAGAAAGACTACCAGCCGAAATTACCTCGAGAATCGTTTCTTTAATATTTCAAACGCCATTACGAGCATCCTCTGTCAGGAACAATCGACAGAACTCCCAAAAGACTGCGGGCTGATAAAAAGCTTTCTGTTATCTCGAGAATCTGCCAACTAGTTCCATAAACAATTTATTACCCGTAAATATAACTTTTCTACGCTCTTATGAGACCTTAAATTCAATAATTGGATTTGTTTAAGCAACGGTAATAGCCTCAATTCGTATTTTTACGATTGCATTTTCGAACGACTGGCATTTGTTAAACTTCGTTGGATAATTTTTTATTTTCGAGCAAACGCATTTAATTAAATTTGATTTGTGCACGAAACGAACTCGGTGAATATTATTTCCCGAGCTTTACGAACTTTTAATTAAATAATTTTTTTCACTTCTCAGACAAAGGGCCGAAAGGCGATAAAGGTGATAAAGGAGACAAGGGGGAAAGCGTCAGAGGACCCCCAGGGCCTCCAGGTCCACCAGGACAGGACGAGGTAAATATTTATATTAATAATAGTGCAACCTTCCTAGTATTAATTTTTATCCGACCGATTGATAGTTTAAAAAAAAAATATTGCTTGTTGCATCATTAACGGAACGTTGTTTATTGCCAGTTTGAATATTTAATTAAAAACGATGAATTATTCGAGGGATGGGCCAACGTATCGAGCATGAGTACGGCACTGAAGATATTCAAGCCATTAGCAATTCTTACACAAGCCACAGAAGCTCCAGTTGCAATAGTTCTGTAATCCAAACACGTAGAAAGGCGCACTGAATGCATTGTGCATATTGCAGGACAACCCATTCATATCAGATTTTGCTTATGATTATGCAGCAGTACATTGTTCTGTCTAAAAGAATATCTACTAAGCCATGTACTATCGCTTCCTATCTTTGAAACGAGTAGTACAGATTATAGAATTATTAATACAGCAATTTTACTTGAGATAGTAGCTAAATCGCGCAATAATAGCACAAAAATTTTGACTCTCGTCGTAAAAAACGAACGATAATTCGTACACTCGTTTAGTGTCGTTCTGTTCAAAGAACAAGTAATATTTTATTACAGAGTTACAAAGTTCCCTCTTAAACGCCCAACGATTGCCTGAAATTACAAATTCGAGATGCAACCGGCAGTGCATTTACAGCGACACGTGTAATTGGAATTAAAGTAACCTTTAATGTTGCACGGTTTACGCGGACGTTATTTCGATATATTAATCCCGCGATAACACGCGTACCCACGTAGATAGGAGTACTTAAATCACCGTAGTTTGTCGGCGGTAACCAGAGTTCGGTTCTAAGAATCATTCACTGCGCCAGATATGTACACGTAGCCACATATTTCAGCAATAATAATTCAGTAGCGTTTGTGCATATGAAACGGGCTTGAATGCATTCCAATCCGGGATCACTCATTTATCTTGTTACCCAAGCAAGCCAATTTAGTCAGAGCGCTGAAGTACTGGTAACCACTGCATGTAACATTGATTACACAGGAACCCGCTCTCACGGTATTCGCTATCTTCCGGAATTATTGGTATGCGGATACGTACACGAATACATTTGTTTAATGCCTAATATATTCGACCCCTAACGAAAACGTAACGTTACAGACGGGTACGAAATTTTTTTTTTATAAAAAACTTAGTCGGTGGTCATATTTTCTAAAATATTTCAACGATTCTTCGAGGGAACTAAACTTGATAATATATGCAAAGATTAGTTTTTGACTTGTTTTCTTGGAGTTCCAATGATCCAAAGATTGACAGGGTTTGTAATTTCGAGACGAATGGATATACGAATTCGTGGGGAACTTTAAACTGTTTCGATAGACGTTCTGTCGCACTTAGAGAAGTATCGATCAGCTACCCTCCGGCTTTCACTCCCATAAATTCTTGAGAATGGAGCGTTGACCAATGAGAAACTTAATTTAGTCGACCAATACGGACAGGTGATAACATTTTTCAGACACTTCATTTCCCCTTCTATAAAGTCGCGACACGCTTTCCATCAAATACCGGAAAGGGGACTTTTACCGCTCGTCAGAATTCAAGATCAGTTGTTTGAAATAGTTTCTGGAACGAACCAGACGGAAATAAAAATTGACGACGTCTGCGGAGGTATTAGCGTATCTATGCGCCAGGGATTATTCGTACGACGATTACAGCAATAATATTGAATTCATTTTTGGATTAACGACGATAAATTGTGTCGATTGTGTTGTGACGTTTTGGCCATCGATTTTTGTGTTTGAAAAAAAAATTGTTTGTCTTACGTTCTTACCTCGAGTCTGGTCATTTAAATTTGAGAAACCCTGTATAATGATTAGACTGCGGATGTTTATGCATTTATGGGAAATTTTAATCCTCAAAAATATAAGAAATACTTAAAGTAAGATACGAATTATTATATTTAGGGATTGAGACAGCCCTCTGCGAATAATTCTATTAATAAAAATGTGAATTTGCATAAAGATCCGTAGTCTAATAATGATGTTTTATTTTAGCAAAGAAACCATTTAACGTGTAAATAATAATCTGCTGACCTTTTGTTTCCTCGCGTTTTGATTTTAAATCGTAATAAACGAGACATAAAACGAATAAATCGCTTATTTTTGCAACGATAAAGTGGTGAAAATGGCACACAGGGTCCGCAAGGGGAGAAAGGAGAGCCTGGCACGTGCGCCTGCAACGCAACAGCCCTGATGGCGTCCTTTACGATGCCAAAGATGATCCAGGGACCGAAAGGAGAACAAGGAGTACCGGGTCAAGAGGGGAAACAAGGGCAAATGGGGCTGACGGTATTGACGCTTTGTTGAGAACCAATCGATTCGCAATAATAAGCTTAAAAATGTGACGGGTACTATCTGATACATCTGTTAAATAAAAAACGTTTCCCATCAACGAGCCAACATAATTTCTCTGAACCTTTCGAACCGTTTAAGCATAAGTGTACGGTGAAATTTGACGAAACTACGACAAGAGCAACGAGTTAATTTATTAATCCTGTCTCGTAATTGGGATTATTTCTGCAGGGCGCAGCAGGACCGCCGGGAGAGAGAGGACTCGAAGGACCTCATGGTGCTAAAGGCGATAAAGGAGACGTGGGCGTGCAGGGACCGGAAGGTCCCCAAGGACAAAAAGGTGAACCGGGTCGTGACGGAATACCGGGGGAAAAAGGCGCCCAAGGACCTCCAGGACCGCCGGGAAAGGACGAATACTCTAGCTACAATGTAAGTAGCAGTACTTGATGTCCATTTTATTTACCGGCTGCAACGAAATGCAATTGAATTTCGCCATAATTTTGCTCGCGAGAAATTAACGCCAGCCCTGGAAATTCCAAAGAATTTTAAAAGTTAAATATTTCTTCTAATTATAGAAGTTCGAGAGTTAAATATTATCGAGGCAACATTGTGGTTATAAAGAACTGGAAAAGCACCAGAATTGATAAAATTTGTAATTTTAACGATTTAAAAAACCGTTCAATGATTGAATACAACTTGAGCGACGTGTCTATAATTACTCGTTATTTTTACTGGCAGATGTGCACATAGACAGTGACGGTGATACTGTATTATCTGTTTTTCATTGACATTAGCACCATCTAACCGGCTGAAACCAATTAAAGCGGATCACACTGTAGACGTTCACAAACAGTGATGGAAGTAGAAATAACGAGTGATGATCAGACACGCTGATGAAGTCAGACTCAATCGCACGCAATTACGATGAATATTCAGGATCGATTTTCCCGTGCACAAAGCCTCTTATGAACAAATTTCACCCCCGCACTTTCTATTCGCGGTAACGCGTAGAATTAATTACCACGAATTCCAATTAATTCCGTGCATAGAAAAGGGCAAACGCAGGTACTAAAAGCACTCGCAAGTTTTACGACACGATCACCGCACTTAGCAATTGGATTTCTTTCTTCGGTTTATTATTAAAACCTCGCCCTGTAAACTGAGTTATCTTTACACGGGAACTGTTGCAATAATGAAATAATAAAAAGTATTTTTTCTGTAATCTACATGAAAATCTTGGACATCGAAGAATCTTTATTTTCTTTGAATTTGTACTTTAATACCTAAACATTGCATATTGTTTTGGAAAGCTATGTAAGAAGACATCAGCGACGATCTGCTCGCAAGCAATTACATTCTAATTGGATCCCGTAAAGCAAATATAATTCTAAATTTCGTTGCAACCGTAAGGTCCTAACGAGGGTAGAAATTATCCCCGAGGAGAATCATCTTGAATTTGTTAATTTCCACGTAAAACCCTTCGATGGTAGCCCCGATACGTTTCCTCTCCCCCGTATGGTACCGAAATTTACACCATCGTTTAACCTTCTCGGGATCGTAAACGCGTACACATTCGCGTCCAATAAACTGCCAGGATCGCGTACAGTTGGCCCGAGCGTCTCCTAAACAGACGAGAATATTAACCGCCAGCGAAGAGACCGGAGCCCTCGGTTTCCTAACATTAATTTCTGTCGTTCTCGCGTTGAAATTTTCGCTTTGCGCGCGGCGTGCACGCGTTTCCTGGTCTCGTAAATTACCAGTGCTTTTCGGGGAAATTGACAACGTCCCAAAATGGCGACGCTGGGCCCCCACGATCCGGCGCGTGCATTCCTTTTTACGGCGACTGTCGGTTCGCGACCATTCCTCGTTGTCTCGGCGGGAGGCGAGCGAGGACAACAAGAAATTCGTTGAATGGAAATGGAACGCGATATCGCCCCGCAGGGAATAAGTAACCGTGCACGTAATAAAGGTGGAGGAGTTGTATGTCCAACTCCTTCCTCCTGTTCCATTCTTTCCTGCCCCTCGTTCCACCCCTTTTTGCTCGTCTCGTCTTTTCCCGCGGCGTTCGTAACCCGTAACGCTACGTCTTTTCTTGTTGTTCTCCACGGTTAAAAAACAAGAAGAAACCCGCGTATCTGTGTTAACGTTCGTGCACCTGTGGATGCATCGGGGAAACGTACGACGTATGACCCATTTCCGTTCGAGGCCGGCGTGGAAATTAAATAGGGTGCGAAACGTGGCTGATGCCGGTGAAAAATGAAGCTGCATTTCGGTGTTCCGCGAACGGAACGCGATGCGCGTTTCAAAACCGATAGTTGTCTCCTCGTTTCGTGATATTCTAGAACGTTTGTAATATTCGCGACTGACCGTATCGTTGGAAAAACTTCGACTACAGAGTCGAGGGGCCCAATTATCGAAGGGATGATCAATTTGGAGAACATTGGGAAAGAAACGCGACGTAATTCGATTATAAAAAATTTTTTAAATGAAATTTGAGTCTTTTATAATGTAAATAAAGCAGTCATCTGTTTGCAAAATGTGAAGAGTGATAGATGGAAATAGGTGTTTCAATTCGTCTATACAAATATTTTTAATAAAATTTGAGTCTTTTATAATGTAAATAAAGCAGTAATCGATAGATGGAAATAGGTGTTTCACGATTTTTGAAATTTGGATGTTAATAAAATTGAACTCTGAAAGTGGACCAATGGAAAATACTATAGGGGACTTTGTTTCATATTTTTAAGAAACATTCTTTTTGAAACAGAACTATCAAAAAATAAGTGTTGCAAAATGAATTAGAATGTACACGAAAATAATTCAGAAACCAAATAATTTGGAGCGAAATGGTTCTTAGCCTAGAGAGTTAACGAAATGAAAAATGTTTGTGTATTTTGGAGAGAATCGTGCAAGTATTATCGACTGTTGAAAAAGGAAGTGGAATGATAGGTGATTTAAAGGTTCCATGGGTTTGGATAGGTGATATATATATCGGTGGAAACCGCGAGGTATCGAAATAGACGTTGGAGCCTCGCGAACGGGAACGACTCAATGAAATTATTATCGCGATAGCTGGAATCGTAGCCGGCGCCGGAAGTGGCACGATTTTCCGTACTTTTCCGTGCTTTTAACGTACTTGGGAACGAACAAAGCTCTTTCTGCCTTCCGACGTTTCAACAATTAGCAGGCGAGGTCAGGCCGCTCGTTTCGTTCCCGCAGCGTAACATTTGGAAACGTGCCATTGCAAAGAACGAAGCAAAAAGGAAACAAATTAAACGTAACAAAGTGTATGATTTTTTTTCACGAACTCCGGTAACCCGACGTCTCGATTTTGTAAAAATAATCCACGATTACCGGCAAACGTCTCCGTACTTCGTTGTTAACAGACAGAAGTAACGGGTGCGACCTAATAAATTATACAAGAAATTAGTTAAACCAAAATCTAGATTAGACTATTCAAACGACAAATAATAGATGCATTCTACTTTCGGTTATAACTCCTTTAAAGTTTCTAATTTTATCTATATTAAAAATTAGAGAATGTTCTTTAACATATATCTGACGTGTAAAAAGGAAATTGATCGTATTCGCCAGTTTCAACTTAAAATAACTTCTGACTTGATGGTAACGTACAATCTCGTAAATAACTTTCAAACTTTGAATGTTCCGAGCTTCTTGTGAAAAATTGCAGCGGAGTTTTACCTCGCGTCGATACATAATACCAAAACAATTCTATTCAAACCAGAAACTATGACACTTTAACGAAACGAAAAAGTTTTCTCAGTTAAATTTCATTTTAAAGCGTTTCGTCAATATAGCAACTCTGAATAAGATACTTTATCAAATTTACGTTCGTTTTGCAATAATTTCGACGTTCGGTATCAAAGTCTGCGACCAGCGCTCTTCGAACGCTCAAGTTTCTTTTTTTTGTATTACACACGTTATAATATCGTTGAAAAACTCGAGGTCCGTTAAAATTAATACAGGAAACGTGACACCCGACAGCGTATAATAGAAACGCTGTACGAAATTGCAACGTATGATAAAGCTGGCGCGACGCAGCGGAACTTTCTAGGTTCCCGATTTCATTTTTCCCGCGAATCCAAACGATTTAGTAGAGGAATATATATTTTCGAGATTTATTGCGGTAATAATCTAACTATCGCGCCTTTCGGTTAATAACACTACGGCCAAAAATAAGGACTCGAAACGCGAATTTATCATGTGCTTTAGATGAATTACGGTTACGGAAGTTGAGCCGCGCATAATTCGGGAGAACAACGGTGGTCGATAAGTTTTTAATTCCAGCCTTTTTATCGCTCCTACGAAGAATAAATATTATAAACAATTCGTTCGAAGTTAATTATTAATATCCATCTTTGAATTTCGATTAAAAGAAAATATTCATTTAATCTTTTAAAGTGTACACGCCAATATAAAATGTTAACGTCTCGATGAAGAGAATGCTTGTCCTCTGCAGGAGGCACCCTTGACACGCGTAAAGTTTCGTGGAGAGACATTAAGGCTTTAAAGCCCCCGCGCTACTATTTGTCCGTACGGTACAATGTCGCGCGAGACGTTAAAAGATTTCTCGACACGGCGAGAGCCCTGCGCGAATAATACTTTCGCGCAGGATAGCCTGCATCCGTAAAAGAATTTCAGAAAAAAAGCTCACGTACACCCGCAAGAGCACCGGGGTCGCTGAATTCGGGCAAAAAGTAAATTAAAACGGGTCCGTTTGTTGCCCGGTGACACGTGTGCAAGGTACACGCCTTATCGGGGTAAAGGGAACCAGATGAACGAAGTAGAAAAATATGAAACGCGCGTAAGGAATTTTACGACTCCCTCGATATCATTATAATGTTACGGATCGATGAACGCACGCTGCGGGCGGGATAAATCTACGTTTGAATCGGAAATCGAAATGTGCTAGAATGCGACTTTAAAATCACTGACCGGGCTGCTCTTTTTGCACACGTTTTAACAAACGTGTTATAACGCGACAAGCATAGCTCTTTAGATCCTTTTTACAAATTTATCAAATAGAAATATCGATCGAGTATAATTTGCGTGCCAGGTCTGACCATTAATCGGTGTTTCTACTTGCGTCGACATCCACGCCGTGTTCTGTTATTACTCGATAAGTATTCAAAGTGGATTTCTTCAAAAACTTCGAATCAGAATTAAATTTAACCAAAAATTAATTAGTTAATTGGTTTTCGAGATATTCGTCAGGTTGGGAGATATTAAGCGGAACGCATTCAGAGTTGTACTATGCCTTCGTTATTCCTTTGAACGAGAATCCAAACTTTTAGGAAACGCTTTAAAAACTATTCCCGCCGGAAAGACGAGGGGGGAGCCGCCTTAACACCGCGCGCGGTAAAATTCTCCTAAAACATCGGGGAAACTCGTGGAATCAACTCGGCCAAGCCTCCATCGCGCGCCCACTCCCCCGGGGCAGCCTTGCGACCTTGCAAAGGCACCTGGAATCCTCGGCAGAGGAAATATCTCGCTTCAACCTCAAGTGTTATCTTACGTGACCCGGTGCTGGTTCCGTGCTCTAACGTACAGTCGTCCGATTTCCCTGGAGAATACAGAAACCAATTTCTAGGCTGTACCGACTAGGTACGCCAGGTGAGTGACTTGGCGAGGGAAGTTGTTTAGGAGAACGACGACGAGTCGTACGGAAACACACATCCCAACCGAGGTGGAGCATTTTCGTGGACGTACCGAATCTGTCGGGCGGCCATCGCGCAAATAACAGCCGCGAAACGGAAAATGGAAAACGGATACAACGATTCTCAATTAACCTTTTGACTACGGTCAATTTTAACGGAAAACTTTTTGACGCTCATGGGCGTTATATGCACATAGTTAACTGATCGACTGAACACCTATAGGCGTTTTTTAGTAGTCAAAGGGTTAAACACGCCTGGTGTAATTAGGAGAAGCTATTGGGGAAGTTTGGGGAATGTGGCTTGTGGAATTTAAAAACATGTAACCGTTCACTTTTTGATAATTTGTAACGTCAACGATTTCTCAAAGGGGGAGATCGAGTTTGGAGTTCTCCAAAAACCGGTGGGCGAGAAATAGTTGAAACTAGTAATTCTAAAAAAGAGGTCGAGCACTTGCGAGAGAGACAAGAGCGTGGCCCTCTGTTGGCGAGTACGGGAACTGCCGCCACAATCTCACTTGGAAGAAATAATAGAACAATTCCCACTTTAAAAATGTCTTTTTTTAACTTTCTAGTCGTAAATACCAAACAGATCCTGAAATTTATGATAAATGATTCCGTAAGATTTTATTATCAGTTACTTCGGTAAGAATTATGTGGTATGTGTGATCGTAAACGAGACGCAGACCCTTTATAATTATTCCCTGTTTCGCTTTACTCTTCGGGTACTCAACCACAACGATCATTAAGGTAGAATGATGCAATTAGATATTAGGCATGGGCGGTAAACCTGATCGCTTCAAATGATGCGTTACTGTGTTGCTTCTGGGTTAATTTGCTGACACTATATATATTTCACACACCTGTTCTGTTCCCTCAGAAAATCTACACATTTCTGCCTTAGAAAGATACATTATAGAAGAAAATATAACTCTCGTTTCTAATTTAATTTTCACAACGAATATTCATTTTCTGTTCAAAGTGGAAACTTTTTAAGTAAGTCTGACCATTAAGTAAAAGTCATCGCCTATAAATTGAAAGAAAATATTAACGGGCGACACCTTTTCCTTAATTTTCAAGAAAATTTCGCTCGAAGATTGAAAAATTCTTCCGTTGGAACATCGCTGTTGCGACAGCAAACACTCGAGCAATATCGAATGACCCACATTGTTCTAAATCTTTATAGTAAAATCTCTTTTGTACATAGATTGATATCCAAGTATATAAATAGAAATGAGAAGAACTTTTCGTTGATTCTTATGGAAAATGTTTGAAGTACGTTTTCCTTCGAGTTTACCCTAACTGCTCGGAACGATTCGTACCCTATAAAGTTTCATTAAAAATTGAGTATGGTTTCCTCGCAAGCAGGAAACCGTCTGTACGAGCTTCCACGATCGTTCTTTTATCGAATTATCGTTAATTCGACGTATCGCGGCTCTTCAATCACCGCGAGCGCGTCAGAAACGGCCGCGATAGAGCCGCTTTGAGAATAAAAGAGAAGAAGGCGGAATGAAAGATGCCTACATTGAATGCTGGACGCTCTGTCAATAGCCGAAGGAAGTTCGAAAGTTCTAAACCACTTGGTGGAAAAGCTTTTGAGAGGCAGGCATGACGTATAATGGAACGAATGCTGGCGTTGATAAATAGACGTTCCGAAAGCGTTCGTGTGACGAAAGGAAAAAAAAGGGGGAAAAAAGGGAAGAGAACACTCGATTCGATTGCGGTTACAGAAGCAAAGACCTGTAAACGTTTGAATAAACGAGTGTCCGTCGAGAGGAACGATTCGAAACGTTCATCGATGAATAAACGCGCGCCGCCCAATGTTGATTTGCGCTTTTCGCGACTGTTTCTCGCTTTACCGTTCGCTAATCAGGGTACTTTATTGTGCCCGCTGGATCGTTGTACGGAGAATTAATTATCGAGCGAGATAAACCGACGTTTGTGCAAAATGGGGCCAGCGACAAGGAGAACGAAAGAAAATTTTAAACGCGGAAAGAATTATTTAAAATTTGATAATAAAAGTTTACAATTACGATAGTACCAGTCGGTTGAATTTTCACCACTCTTCTCTCGTTGTAAATAAAAAAAAAGCGAGTTATTAGTTTGCTAATTTTTACTTAATACATCTAATATCTGTGTCAAGAAACTGGTACAGAAATTTCCTTTCCTTTATTAAAACAAGATGTTTATCTCGACAGTGGACTCGAAGATGCCACGAGCAGAGTCTTGAAGGTGGGTTTAGAGTGGGCTTATCCATTATTTAGTATATTTTACGTCTATCAAACAAGAATGTGTCGTCGTCTGCAGGGAAAGAGAAACAAGTTTTTGGTGTTATTAAAAGAAAATGAAGACGGGAAAATTCTTCTCAAATTACGGCGTAATGAACAGAAATTTTGTTAAAAATGTCAATGGCATTTATTACGAAACCATTGTTTTCCATTATAATGGCGGTAATGCGTTTGACATATATGAAGATACAATGGACGCTTTCCTTTTCCTATAAACGATTTTCAACGATTGCGTCATCGTCGATACTGTCCAACTAATTATAATACAATCCCCTTTCTATGAATCCTGGAAAGCAGGTCTATAGGAATAGAGATTATACTATAAATTTTTGTGCTTATAAAAACACTATTAAATACAGTAGGAACAAAGATTGAGCAAAAAAATTCATCTAATTCCTACTTTGACTCCAACCAGTGCTTCATATAATTCAATACTTCATAAAAAGAATATATCGCTATAGAAATGTAAAATTTATTCTTGAAAAATCTACCTATTTTAACGTCAAGATTAACATTTTTCACAGTAATGAAATCGAGCATTTTAACAAAATTTACTATAATAACCCTCTCTTTTCTTTTCGACGAAAGTGTTGAAAGAATTCTAGCGACAGTAAAGGTACGCTTGGGTTCATTTAGAAAACTAATTTCTTCTTCTCTATAGCGACACAATTTTTTTGTTCGACGAATGACTGTATAGGGAATAAAGGAAACAATCCGTGGCGAGTACGAATTTCTTTACAAGCGATCCCACCTTTGCAAAGTCTCATTTTCAGACGTTGGACGTTACAAACGTATCGACGACGAGTCTACGGATGCGACTGTATTTAGCCAGAGGCGCTGCTTTCGAGTCCACCCACGAGAGAGAATCGCTAGAAATGTTTTCAATATGCTAGTTCTTCGGTGATCGAACGTACAAACTTGTCATAAATTCTCGAAGTCGCCCGTTTGCGAAGCAAACAACTCGAGCGCGGAATAAACGTTTCGACGAAACGTTCGAGAGTATCGCCCTTTAATATAGTCGACCGTTCCAACGACGATTGTTCGTCATTAGACGACTCAAAGGGGCAGGTGGCACGTCGACCGGCTGCTTTTAGCTTTACGACATTGTACCAATGATTAAACAGAGAAATTTCGTCTATTATGCGCAAGCAGCTCAGTTGGGGACGCCGGGGAGCTTACAGGGTAAGTAACCACACCATAATCGGAGTGCTTTCGATATAAAAGCTCCGATATGACTCTATAATTTAGCGAAATTTAAACGGCGCTCGATTGCTCCTTTTGTGGAGACAATTACGACTCGTAGATCAAAATATAGAAAAACCTTCTGTTTAAACAATGTCTCTATCGTTACAGACGTCCCTTAAAACGATGTAACTGTTGAATATTTATTTGCTAAATAAATACAACATAGTTTCGACCTAAGTATGTATTCAATAACACTAGAACTACCGCCAATTGTAGTGTGTTTATTGGTATCAAGGAAATTGAAATTGAAATAAGTGTTTATTCATTCTCTTATAGAAAATTACGGTAAATTTTTTACAGGTTTTATTAGAAATTACGGATGGGTCATTTTGACTGGTTTGGTAGTTCCAATGTTAGTGTAGTTTTACAAAACGAAAATTCTGTTCTTAGCTTGAAGGTTTTCTAATCAGAGAGTGCAATAAACGAGTGTCCTCCTCAGGTAGTACTGATTTTTTCAAGGGAAGGGACTGCACCAATGGATACAAATTTTCATTAACCCATTAACATTTTTTCAAGTCCAAATCAAAAATTACAAAATACAACAGCAGTGTAAATAAAACAGATATTTTAACAGGTAAATTTCAAATAAGACACTTGAAGGCGTTGGGAGCTGCCGGTAACAAAATTGAAATATAATTCGAAATGCAAAGGGTTAAAGATACATGCATGCAATGCTAATTCTCAACAGTAACTTTGTTCGACAATTTTTCCACGCAGATATTTGGATATCTCTGTTCTGTATTGAATTATTTCTGTTTAGATGGATGAAATCACGATGAGGCCAGGGCTGCCAGGACAGAAGGGCGAGGCAGGCATTCCAGGGAATCCAGGACAGAAAGGGGAGTCGGGAATCGTGGGTGCCAAAGGAAACAGGGGCGAATCGGGACACAAGGGCGTTAAAGGCGATCACGGGAAAGAAGGGCCGCGAGGAATTCAGGGATTCAAAGGTGAACCCGGGGCTCCTGGAACGCCGGGGCTACCTGGGGCTCCGGGTGAGAACGGAAGGCCGGCTGAGAAGGGCGACAAGGGCGACACGGGACCGGAAGGGAAACTAGGTCCTCCGGGACCACCAGGACCACCAGGCGTGTCCGGCGTCACTGGACCTGGGGCAATAAACGTTGGGGAATCAGGTACGACTCGATCGAAATAAATTATTTCGAGTAATAAAGTGTATGGAAACACGTGGACGTAAAATTCAGAGGCTCGTGTATTTCACATTGAACGTAAACTTGCTTAAATATTGCTGTCTAGGCTCTTTCGACCTTTTTTGTGATTTTTTCTTTGATGGTAGGCAAGCTGTTTTGCATTGAGATTTTGCAGATATATTTATTCATCTTACAAACGTGTACAGTATTTTTTTCATCGAGAAATATTAAAAATTGTGGGAGTTATGACTTGTTGTTTGATGGCTCTTTTGAAAATAGTGGAACACTGGCTTTCACGAAACAGAGGGGGCTAAGGTATCTTCATTAGGAAGAGTGTAGTTGTAGCAGGAACTAGGGAGAAATCAAAATCTCGATAAATAATGGAATGGCGGCACTTGGAGTTTCGAGTTTCTATTTTTCAACCTTCTGTCTTTGGCATATTACAAAAAATAGTAAAACTCAATATTTTTTTAAATCTCTAGTTTCAGCGATAAAGACGTGTCTGCTGAATATTCTCCCCAAAGAAACCAATCGGTCTGCTAGATCTTGAACTATCATGCAAGCTAATTTAAATGCATTTTTTAAAACAAGAAGTTATATCTCCCGCAATGTTTAATATATCTCGATGAAAAAAATACTGTACATGCTCATAAGATGAACAAATATATCTGCAAAATCTCAGTACGAAACAACCTACCTACTATTAAAAAAAAAGATCACAAATTGAAAGAATGACAGTATAAACAGCAATACCCCCATGACTTTGTAATTTTCACCCCTTTGAGACGTTGGTGCGAGTTGGAACGCACGGTGGAACACGTTTTAGGAGAGTCCTGTGCTCGAGGACCGAGCATATCTCTGAATTTCGTCGCTCGCAAACAATACAATCGAATCTCTTCGATTAATTAGTATTAGGAGAGAAAGGTGACAGGGGCGAGATGGGTCCGCGCGGGCATAAAGGAGATAAGGGCACCAAAGGGGAGAAAGGAGATAAAGGTAACTCAGGACCAGCCGGGATTCCCGGTGTGAACGGCATTCAAGGACCCCAAGGCAACAAAGGAGAGCCAGGCAAAGATGGAGACGCCGGCGCGCCAGGAGTCGGTGGTTCAAAGGGCGATAAAGGCGAGAGAGGACCGCCAGGAGCCACGGCTATAGCGAGCTCCGGTGACTACATTACTATCAAGGGTGAGAAGGGCACGGCGGGCAAGAGGGGTACCAAAGGACATCGAGGACCACCTGGTCCCGCTGGACCACCTGGAAAACCGGGAATTATGGGAGAAATTGGGTTACCCGGATGGATGGTATGAGAACAACCTTTCGTTATTTTATAGATCTATATAATTTCTTCCGCCTTTCATCGTACGCATCTGATTTCCTTCTTACAGGCTGGTCCGCTAGAAACGGGAGACCTTCACTCATTAAGTTTCACCCATTTAGTAGTTCAAATCCGAATAAACTGCACTGGAATTTTTTTTTATAGTATTTTATGGGTGGAAAAGAATATTATATCGTTTAGTGTCTCTAATTTGGAATATTCCCAGATATTATGTTTTATCTGTGAAAGAAATGTCAGTGGAATCTTACAGTATTCTTGTTTTGCAAATATTTGATGTGATCAGGATTTTATGATTATTGAAGTGTATTATCAGAGTCTCCTGTTTGTGGTAGACCACCCTGTACAAGCAAAGGGAGTTACTAAATACTAGTACATTATTATTCACATCAATAGTAATGCAATGCACAGTATATTTGGTTTAAGTGAATACACATAATTGTTTCTTTTTTTATACCAAAATACTGTCCTTATAAAAATAGTTTCACTTGGAGGGTGAAACTATATAACGTCGAATCTGAATTTTTCATTCTTTTTGATAGAATCTATTATATTCATTTTATTCTGCATTTCAAAACGCTCTAAATAACGTATCTAGAATCCAGGTTAATCTAAAGTTTATACACTATTAAGAAGAATATAAAATTCTAAATATCCGATTCGATATTCAATTTTCCCCTTCGAGTCGTAACGACTTTTATAATCGGACGATTTAATATTTAGTATTAGAAAAAGAGATGTCTGTTCTTTGCTTTTTCCTTAATTTCTGTACAATTTCGTTCCAAAGTTTTAAGCAAAATATTTTACGATCGTTAAATTACCAGACACGAAACCGCTATGGCGAAACTAGACGATAATTAACGCGTATCGTGTTCCGTTTAAAATGTTGAATAATTACACGCTGGCGTGTGAAAATTACAATTCTAAAATTCTAATACTCTTTTTCCAATGCTGAGCACAGAACACTATGAAAGTAAGTATTACATAGCACCGTACAGCCCACCAGTACTATTATTAGGGTTGACCAATAATTAGTGTCAGATTTCTCTGAGTAGATGACGATTTTTTCCCCAATAAAAAGTACAAAAGTTTAACGCAAAATATTGTGAATCAAAATGTTTAGTAAAGCAATTCTTACTGAAAGCTCCGACATTACTTTTTGGCCAACTAGATGCTAATTTAAAGATTGCCCTCTGTACATAATCTCCCAAATAACGTCGAATCAGATTGAACGTGTTTATTGGTTCGAATAACGATAGACAGCGTAATAATTGTGTCATGAAATTAGAAATCACAGTAATCGAGCGAGTGTACGGTAGACGGACTTGCGCGCGAGATTAATTAAAGGGTTAATGAACATAGAATATTCATGCACGGAAGGTATAACACGAACGTTACGTATCGGTAACTGCTTCCAACAGGGCCGCCCTGGAAATCCTGGACTACCCGGACCTGTTGGACCAGGAGGACCCAAGGGGGAAAAAGGTGAACCCGGAACACCGGGTCCTTACGGAGTTTCCGTTGGTGTAAGTACAATTTACAATTTCCCTTCGAACCAGCAATATTAAATTTACCGTTATTTATTTACGTTGGATCGTTGGTTAAATTTTTATTAGTCAAAAGTACCGGTTCCTTATATAATTATACAAAACTTAATACCTTAAGAGATATTTCGTTTCATTTTTAATATTACGAGCCCAGTGCTGGCACAGTTATCGTTCTCCTGCATTTCCCCTATCGTACGAAACATTAAACGAGATAACATTCTTTTAAGGGTAACCTTTTTACACAATTTAATCTGGTAACTGTTAGAAAACTTTCTAAAGTTTCGTAAAAATAGAAAAATTTCAGTCTCATCAAACATTTGTTATCGGAAGCTCAACGAATATCAGATTGTTGTTTGTCTGTGATATTTTTATCGCGAGCAACGTGCAGGAAAAGGTCAGAAGACAATGTGAGAACGTTGAAGAGTTTCCCAACGTGAAACGGATAAAGTTAATGGACACATTTTTGTCCTGTCCTGTAACGGGTGACGGGTTAAAGTGGAGATGTACACGGTAATCTACGACCCCCATTGCAAAGTTTTGCAGGTCATTCTGCGTAAAAAATAAAAGGCGAACATGGGTTTGCACCAACTTCGAACTCTCTGATTTTAGAAAGTCATCCTTGTTTTCACTCAATTTACGTGTTCTAGGGAATATACTAGACTAGGTCCTCGCTATTATCAATACAAAGTTAGTTTTCACTTGGATGATTTTCAACTCTAATCAAATAATTCAAAGACTAAGTATTTTCCTATAATTTTTACTATTTTGTTTTCATTTCGTCAGAGTTTCTTTGTGGTATTTTATGTTTCGCGTGAATTATTATTTCAATATTCGTTTTTCGTGACAAATTGGTGTAGTTTCATTATAAGTAAATGAAAAATGGGGGGAAAAAATACGCTTGTGAACCGATGCGGACCGTTATGAAGAATATCGATATCAAATAATAAAGCTAATCGCTTAAACCGATTTGCAGTTATCGTGTACGCCGTTATGAAAGCCAGTGTTTCGAGAAAAACGCGTTTGAAATTTCATAATGAACCCGTCCGTGCATACGGCTGGCGCTAACGGGCTATAACTTCCTATTAATGCGAATTTCGATATGGTACAACTTGCATATTATTTTTAAGACTTCGAAACGTCAATTTATGGAAAATAAATATTTCGATTTTTAGAATCCGTGAGCACGCTGACGGTGGTTTTATATTTTTCCCGGAGAGGTTTAATATTTCGCTTGTCCGACCATTACATGTTATTTCTACTTGCGTTAGAGTCTTCGACAATTCCATAAGTCTCGCGTCGAACATTGATTTCAGTATATAGACATTATATGGACACTGTATATTCACTTTAGAGGCATCAAAGAATTTATAGAAATTATTTGTATTGTGTAAATATTACAAGGACCATAATTTAAGAGGCTCGGTAAAAAGTATGTCTTGACTAGTATGTCAACTAACTAACTGACAAACTAACTAACTAACTGACAAACTAACTAACTAACTAACTAACTAACTAACTAACTAACTAACTAACTAACTAACTGCAAACTAACTAACCTCTGACCATTGCTCATTACTGCTACTTGTGTTGGAGTCCTCAATAATTTCACAAAACTCATGTTAAATATTGACTCCATATAGACTCACACTGTATATTCACTTTAGGGGTACCAAAGAATATATAGAAATTATTTATACTATGTAAATGTTACGATGACTATGATTTAAGAAGCTCACTAAAAAGAAAAACTTGGCTAATGTGTCTGACCATTGCTCGTTATTTCTACTTAATTTTCGGGGTCTTCAACAATTCCGTAACTCTGTGTATTTATTTTAGGGGTACCAAAGAATATATAGAAATTATTTATACTATGTAAATGTTACGATAACTATGCTTTAAAAAGCTCACTAAAAAGAAAAACTTTATTAACGTGTCTGACCATTGCTCGTCATTTCTACTTAATCTTCGGCGTCTTTAACAATTCCGTAACTCTGTGTATTTACTTTAGAGACACCAAAGAATATATAGAAATTATTTATACTATATAAATGTTACGATGACTATGATTTAAGAGGCTCACTAAAAAGAAAAACTTGACTAACGTGTCTGACCATTCCTCGTTATTTCTATTTGCATTAGCGTCCTCGATAATTCCGTAACTCCCGTAAATTCACTTTAGAGGCACCAAAGAATATATAGAAATTATTTATATTGTATAAATATTACGATGACCATAATTTAAGAGGCTCACTAAAAAGAAAAAATTGACTAACGTGTCTGACCGTTGCTCGTTATTTCTACTTAATTTTCGGCGTCTTCAACAATTCCATAACTCTGTGTATTCACTTTAGAGACACCAAAGAATATATAGAAATTATTTATATTGTATAAATATTACAATAACCATAATTTAAGAGGCTCACTAAAAAGTACGCCTTGACTATCATGTCTGACCAATACTCGTAATTTCTACTTGCATTAGCGTCCTCGACAATCACGTAACTCCCGTAGATTCACTTTAGAGGCACCAAAGAATGTATAAAACCTATTAATATCGCAACGTAATATTACGATGACCATAATTTAAGGGACTCAGCCCAAAAGCGGTAGCAATTTCATTTGAAATTTCAGTCTCATTTCACGCCAACCATACAATGAAAAACGTAACGCTTTCGTTCAAGTTCCAATTCGCGTTTCTCCGTTTTTATTCGCGTCGCGGCTCGATTTGATGTTTTTCAAAGCTGTTTAATCACAGGTTGGACGTGAAAGGCTCGCCGGCGAGTAGATCCCGGAGCCGCGGCGGAACATTTTTCAGTCGTAGCAACCACTCGGCGCGAACCAACGCGGAACTTGTAGCGGGTGCTCGTAGATTACCTCCGTCGCCCCCGACGGTACCGTGTCGTCCTAGCAAGGAACGGAACCGCGAGGGTGACGGAAATTAATGCAAGTGTGCGAGTGACGCACGCCCACCACCCCTTTTTCCCCCGCAATCTTTATCGGTCACCGAAGCCACCGGGACCCGATTTATTCGACGACCCAAACAAAAATTCGTCGAAACTTCCAACCCGGGAGGGGGCGTCGGTGACAACTGACAAGCCGCGCCGAATGCGCGTGGCAGCTCTTAATTTACTACACTTTGGTTTAAAAGCCGTTCGCGCGGACGTAAGGCAAACTCGACGCTTTTATCGCGTCACGAAGACGCGTACGGTGATTTACAACGACGCCTCGAGACTTTCGCGTAACCTTCGATCTTCGTCGAGACTAAGCTTGTCTTTTTTTTTACAACTGTTCCCCTCCCCGTGATACAAACGCTGGCAATAAGTTTTTTGAGCGGATTTAGGAAGAATATTCGTAATATTGCGACTTTTGAATCGTAACAAAAATGAATACCTGGGGGGAGTTAATATAACGCGAATAGCAACGTGGCGACATGAATTTTAAATTGTTAAAGTTTTCTCGTCTCGTTCTCGCGGGACAGGGAAGATATTTTCTATCGAAGCGCAAAGATATCGGAACAGGCGAAATTTTCGTTCGAACGGGGTATTTTCGCGGGGGGTACAAAATTCGATGATCCGTAGATGTCAGCGATCTGTTGAAATAGAAGAACGTCACGTAGACCACCTCTTATAAGAGATTAAAATGATTCCGTGTAATCCCCTCTAATCCGTCGTTTTCGAACTGCACGCGAAGGACAGAGTAGATAATCTACATAATTGCAATCGCTATTTACTCTGGAAGGTTCGAGTCGCGGATTTATGTTGAGTAAACGCTGTTTGCTCGTCAAATCGACCACTAAGAGTCTTTATTTTTTAACTATTATTCAACGTGTAAACCGTAATTCGAGATAACGTTCACGTATCGAAATGCCTGGCGTCAAACTAATTACGTAAAATTACTTCCAACGAACTGTTTGATATAAAATGAGTGTCTAACGTCTCTATTCGAAAGTTAGTTATATTCTCAATGTAACTGAGATGAACGTAGTGTTTGTAACGACTGGTAATGGTCTTTTCCATTTATCTGGACTCCAGGAGTAATGTAAGTTATCGATTAGGCCTTGAACAATGTTCAGATAAAAGGCGATAAAGGAGACGAAGGTTTCCCTGGGATTCCTGGACAAGCTGGAAGGGACGGCCAAAGAGGACCTCCAGGACCACCTGGACCACCGTCTCAAGGAAACTATATTCCAGTCCCAGGCCCCCCAGGGCCCCCTGGACCACCAGGACCGCCAGGAATGCTAGGTGGACAGAAAGAAGAGTCAGGATCAAGTAGAAGCCATATATTTGGCGAGAAGGACTATTACGGAATCAGACAAGGTAACGGACAATTAAGTACAACGTTATTCAATTATGTCCATCTTACTAAATATAAATAATAACGATATAAATTGTTCGTTTGTTCCGTCAAAAGAAACATGAATCCGTGAACTATTCGGAACGATCTATTTCCTATATCAATTCTACGACCCCCTACAAAAATTAATTATATGTTTGTACAATCTGCGATACGTAAAAAGACCATTACAAATATTGAATGAAATATTCCAAAGAACGAAGGGTTCAATTATAAAAATATTTGTTCACGCTGCAAGGTCTGGTCGAATTACAGGCTCTACGTGAATTGAAGCAACTGAAAGAATTAACAGAGCAATTAGGTAATTCATATTAATGTAAAGTATTATAGCAAATAATTTTTTTAGAAAGCGCATTAAGCTTTCGTCGTACGCATATTATGAATTCTATTTAATTAGTTGGAAAGAAGCACATGATTAATTTTAGTATATTTGTTTTTTGATTCTGTCAATCTGTCAATCAAATTTTGTTTAAACTTTCGCAAGGTTCCGCGACCGTGGCAACGAGAGGTCCTTTGGAGAGCACGACGAAGATCGTACCTGGAGCAGTGACTTTCCAAAACACCGAAGCCATGACAAAAGTAATATTTCTCGCGATAGGAAACAATGAAATTTCGTAATGATTTTAATAACATTTTAACTGATTCTTGTCCCTTAGATGTCCGCTGTAAGTCCGGTTGGAACATTGGCGTACATCATAGACGAACAGGCGCTTCTCGTTAGAGTGAACAATGGCTGGCAATACATTGCAGTTAGTATAACATACGTTTACTATTATTATACAGGGAGTTCGAGAAATACGAAAGAATATCAATTTCTTGACTGAGGCTTCGTTAAAAAATTAAAAAATTTCAAATCATTCTGAAAAAATTATTTTCGATTGCAGGGATCGATTACTATCATTTTTGGTCATTACATATACCCCCGAAATCCTACGCATTTTCGAGAAAAAAATTCTTTAAAATGCCGTAACTTCTGAACGGATTGAGGGATTTGAATGTTTCAAAAGGCAAACAACGCGTATTTTAGTGAGGAATATGTAGAAATTCTAAGAATATTCGAAAAGTTATTGTTTAACCCCGTAAAGTGAGAGAAACCCCATAAAAATGGTCCAATTTTCAAACAATCATAACTCCTGCAATAGTGAATATATTTTAGTGAAATTTTTTTCTGAAGTAGGGCTCATGGGTACCTACAAAAGAGTGTTAGGCAACTTTTCTGTACAGCGTCAACCAAATTTTTAAGAAAAATCCACAAGGGGGTAGTGCCTAAATTTTTCGGTGAAAAAAAAAATTTTTTAATCGTTCTGGAAAAATTATTTTCAGTTGCGGGGGTCAATTGCAATAATTTTTGGTGAATAGACCCATCCTCGAAATCCTACGCAGTTTCGAGAAAAAAAATTCAGGAAGGTAGACAAATTTTTCGGCGATATTAAAAAATTTCTAATCTCTCTGGAAAAATTATTATCGGTTACGGGGGTCAATTACAATAATTTTTGGTGAATAGACCAACCCCCGAAATCTTACCCACTTTCTAGAAAAAAATTCAGTACGGGCGGAACTTTAACCGTTAATAACTTTTTAATGAAGCGTCCATCAACAAATTAGTATTCTTGATTTTCGTTTTATTTTGGCCTCTGAAATCTCCCATTAAAATTTTTCCCCGTATATTAAAAAAAATTGTACGATATTATTTTTAATATTATCAAAAACATTTCAAGAATAACAGTATTCTCGATTTTGTATAAGCCACATAAGTTTCTAAGATTTTGACGTTACCTTAAAGCTTTGATGGCCGCTCGTTTTATAAGGAGACCGTTGCCTGCCGGCGGCGATTCCCGTGACTTTCAACCCCGACGAAAACTCCCTGTTTTCCGACCTGAAATTTCAAATACAACGTTTTATATTCAAATACCAGCCCTGCATAATTTTATCTGAAAACAAACATACGAATAACTATAGAACAGAATTATTAGATAAACTATCGTTAGGAATTATTTTTAAATTTATGCGTATGTAAATATATTTGTGAACATCAGTAAATGGGATACGAAAGTAGCTGTTCGAGGCACGGTATATAAATTTCCAGGAAACTCCGTTGCAGGGGAATCCATTTAATTAGAAATATTTGTCCTATATTCTCTAGTTGGGATCTCTTTTATCAATAACTACTCCAGCACCGCCGACCACGTCGCCACCTCCAGCAAACCCACCTTTTGAGGCTTCCAACCTGATCAACCAGATACCTGTAAAAGCAGATGGAACGGGGGTGAGTTACTATTTTAATCCTGTCGAGTGTAAAACGTTACTGATAAGATGTATTACCTAATTCGTACTGAATTTCCTTCCCGCTGCCAAGTGGTATCCACGAATGGTGAGATATGAACGCCCTTAATCATTTTAATGTAACTTTTTCACCGTGAATATTACCTTCTGTATGTATTTTAGTCTTTTTTACCCCTGTTATCGTCGCGGTACAGAAGTTTAAGTACAGAAAACGTTACAGTTGGTACCGTTTAAAGCATCGAAGGATCGGAGTGTCTCGCCTAAATGTTCCAACGTAGCAATAAATATCGATTTCTACAGGAATATAGCAAGTAAACGATGTTACAACTTTCAGTTACGAATGGCTGCTCTGAACGAACCGTTTACCGGAGACATGCACGGCGTACGAGGAGCTGACTATGCCTGTTATCGACAAGCAAAGCGAGCTGGCTTGAGGGGAACGTTCCGTGCATTCCTCAGCTCCAGGGTTCAAAACGTCGACAGCATCGTGAGACTCGGGGACAGAGACCTCCCTATCGTTAACATAAAGGTGATTTAAAACAAAAAGCTTGTAAACGTTTAAAAATTATTTGTACCCCCATTGAACTTGGTAAACAAACTTACCAGTCAAATTACAAAATTTCCTTTTCCCAACCCTTCAGGGAGACGTCCTCTTCAACTCTTGGAAGGAAATGTTCAACGGAAACGGAGCGTACTTCTCTCAGAACCCTAGAATTTACAGTTTCAATGGGAAGAACATCCTCAGTGATTTTGCATGGTAAAACATCCAGTATTTCTCTACCTGAACAACTATAATAGATCATCTCTTAAACTTGAATTAGCTCTTTTACAGGATTGGTGTCAGATTTTTTGTATACTCTTCATCCTTGTTTTGGTCTTCTTGTGTCATGTGCAAAATTCTTGTATAAGCTTCAACGGAATTCTCTCTAAAACAAAGAAACGAATAAAATTAAAAGATACTTGCATTGTGAATTTAAGATAGAGATAGTTAAATATATACATAGAACGTTCAACTAATTCTAAGCATAAGCTTTTGTACCTTAGCTCCTGTAAAGGAGGCGTGTTTTTGAAACTTTATCAACGCGTGACTTTCTTGCAGGCCAGAAAAGGTGGCTTGGCACGGCTCGCACAAATTAGGAGACCGCGCGATGGACACGTACTGCGACGCCTGGCATTCGAGCAATTCTGATCGTTACGGATTAGGATCGCCCCTAACGGGGGGTCGTCTCTTGGAGCAAGTTCGTTATTCGTGCGACAACAAGTTCGCTCTGCTCTGCATAGAAGTGACCAGCGAGATTACAAGAAGAAGGCGGAGCGTCGAAGTTACGGAGGACGCGGAGGAAATGTCGGAGAACGATTACAAGGAGTACTTGGACGCTCTGATGGACAACTAATCGCGCCCGACGAACAGAATATCAAGCAAAATAAAACCAATTCGCTCGTCGTTGTATACATAGAAACCGAGATGGGGACCGTTGATCGTCACCGTTCGATGGACGAGAATTCGAAGAAAAGACGTCGAGGACGTGGTCTATCGAAACGGTGACCATCTCGTTTCTAAAACCGCGAAACTCTATCTCTAACTCCAAAGGTTATAAAACCCATATCGCGAGTCATTAGCCAGCGCTTTACACGAATTTCCGTTCTCTTTTTAAGAAATAAGACTGATCGTCTAGACATCGTTCATCAGTGTGTCATATCGATTGCCTGTACTTTTTGATCCGTCGCTTATCGGAGCGGTCGGAATAATTCGATATAGTATTCCATCGGCGAGCAACGCGAACTCGACGTCGTTAAGAGTTCCCTACATCACGATAAACGTCCAGTACTTAGATCGCTACTACGAGAGGAGATTCTTAAAGGCGTGACGAGATATGCCCGTACCCAAGTCATAATTTACTGTTAAGAGATAAAAAAAAAATAAAATGGAAAAAAAAAAACATACTTAAAACTAACAGCTGCCCTACGACCTAAATAAAACGAACATCGTATTCGCGATCGAATTGCATTTACAATTTAGCCAATACATATGAGCGTGTATGTTAGATGTAAGGAAACAAGTTGATTAACGAGGATTCCGCAAGACCATTAAGTTTCTCGAAATCCGGAATCCAGATTTATGCTCCGTGTACGATTATCCGCAATCTGTGCGAGCCGATGCACGTGTTGTCGTTCGAATGCCAGACAGAACCCGTGAACGGACCGTTAGAAATTGGCCTAACAGTTGCGACAGTCGATAAAAGCTTTCGAAATTACTAGCGTATACGTAGCAATATTTTATAACTGATAGTTCGCTCGGGAACGTTACCACTCTGCGAGCTGTTTCGCGGTCTAATCGTCGTAAACTTTTGCTTTACATCGAGCATAAATCGAATCTAAGTCAGTGTCTATAATTCGAAGATACGATATCACTAACATTAAACTAATTTATTACGATTAAATACAGAAATGGTCGATCTATATCTTTAGGTTGTCAGCGTGCTTGTTGGCGAATATTTCGTACCGGAAGATTGTCCCTTGATGTCGTACGTAGATCTTGACATCCCTATGTGAAACCAACCGTTCTTCGATATAGTTTGCACCAAGGACCGTTTTATTTCGAAATTTTGTATTATTTGTACACTTTATTATTGTCTTTCTAAATAAAAGACGAAAAGTGCATCTACTGGACTAATTGAATCTCATTTAACGCAGCGGCTCGATGAAGAGATCGATGTCGTTGTCCATTGACGATGACAATCGCTGCAACAGAGACGACTCTATTTGTAAAAGAGAAAGAAAATTAAACCGAGATCTCTTCATCGAACGATAATTAACCATGTTCCAACCTTTATCCACACCTCCTAAATGTCCTAATCGCCGCTGCTCTGTGTACGAAATGTTATCACATGTAACAACGGTCAGGGATTACAAAACAATATCATTAAAAAAAATTGAAAAAGTTTAATGTTAATTCACATAGTACTATCCATTTCTTAAAATTCATTTTCACATAGATGATCTTTAAAAATATAATTAAGATTTTAAAACAGCCAGTGCTTCTGTGAACTTTAAACCTTCTAAAATGTACGCTAAATTCTCCATGGACGCATCCACGTCTTCTTCTGCCCAAATTGCCAACATATTTTTGCATTGTTCGTATGGTGTTGGTTTCCCTTGGAAAAATGTGATCTAAAAAAAGTAACCGTATAGTTTTATTTTCTACTTTTCTCATGACTAATTATATTCTACTATTTGTTTACCTCTTCACTCGTATAACCAAACTTAGTTGCTAATTTCTTCCAATCGTTTTTTAAAATATCTGATAATTTTGCCACCATTTCAGGCGTAACCTTTGTTAGTTTTCGCCCCTTCGTATCCGTATTTTCAGACTCAACTTGTTCACTATCTTGTTTTAAAACATCTTCGGTGAATTCTTGATCGTTCGACTCTGACGGCGGCGTTTCTTCGGTATCTAATTTTATATCGGACTGCGTTTGCTTTAATAATTATATAGAATTTATTTTTAAATGACAGAACTATTACAAATTAACCAAACGTAGGTATTATACTTACTGGACGATCTTTGGCGATTTTTTTAATCATTGTCTCAAGATATTCAGGAAGTTTATTAATAGGGTAATTTCCATGAACAAAAAAGTGAGGACTACGTCTGGCTAGTAATCTCAATGCTCTCCAACCAAAGTTTCCATCGTTTACTTTCCTACGTTTTATAAAAGAAGCTGATAATTTAAAATATTACAAAAATTATAAAAAAAAAAAGAAATATACTTACTTGTACTCATCCTCAACCATTGCATTGGGATCTAACTGCATAATAGCTTCTTCAAAGTATGTCTCTAAAGATGGAAGGAAATCTCTGTCTTTCGATTTACATGCTTCAAGATTATTAGGGCATAGATTCCATAGTTTTGTGAGTTCTGGACTATGGATAGTTAAATTTAGTTACGCATCTAATACACATGTAAATATTTTTGTTTATGCTTATTTATACTTACTTTCCCATGTGATATTTCCCTACTGCTTGAGCATCTCTAATAACATCTCCGATTCTACGTCTTGGCCTTTTTGGTTTCTTTAATTCCTCTGCATCAGCATTAGAATCAGAAGCTGGCTTTTTGAATGGCGGGCAGCCCTCGTTTTTCCATGCATTCCAATGCTCTTCGCGTTTTAATATATTTTTTACAGTTTCAGCGAATGTTGGGCCATCGGGAGGTGTTTCGATCAGTAAGGCATAAACTTGGTCTGTGGTACCTTTTACCCAATCTATTTGGTCCGACTTCAGCTCATGCGTTTCACTTAAAAAATTGCAAAAGTTATTGAAACTCTGTGACATGAAAAGCTCAAAACACTATTTAAGGAAAGCAGACCTTGTCTCATAGCCACTGGCAAGGAAGCTTTGGAAAACAAACATCATTTTATAGCTTTCAAAAGTCATTTTACTAGAGATTTAAAAAAATGTGCAATTCTATGAAGAGGAATTGTGAATTCAATTGTAATAAAATACAAGTGCACAAAGAATGTGCCCACGTATATTGTAGATACTTACGCTTTAAATTTTACAGTGCTATTAAGATATTGGAAAAGAATGAGAAATTGCAGCAATACATATCGCCTAAAATTTGAATCGGATAGCTGTAGTTCCAGTAATTTCTGATTTGTTAGATATTTTGCAAAATAAGGGGTTTCCTTATGAGAACCTTCCATTGAAGAATCAACTTTAACAGAGGTTGCAGGATAATTGCGTTGTTCTTCTAATTTAAAAGATGAAAACGCTGACAAAACGCTTGACGCATGCTAGAAAAAATATAAACAAAAAAAGTTTTAATTGCCAGCAAAGAAAATATTTTTGATTGCAATAATGGTATCGTAACGGTAACTTGAACTTACTGCTGAAAATACTTTCCAGTGAATTTTGTGATAGCATTGATTTGGATTTCTAAAAAAATCTTGTAGTGCCCAAAATTTTGTATATAAATTATAATCAATTGGTACTTTGGTCTCAGATTTATCATCATCTTTAGTTATTTGTTCCAACACGTCTCCTTCTGATTTTTCAGATCCAAACTCAGTATAATTCTCCAAATTAAATTCACTGACAATATTGAGTCCAGATCGTTCGGAGAAAGGAAAAAACTTGGCTAAGAATAAAAGAATTCTGCCGCAAAATACAGTCTGTTGCGACCGAGATAATCGTCTCAGCAGGTCATTGCACATCCTTAGTAAATTATTTTTACAAGCACTAAAGAACAGATCTTCTTTCCATACGACAACATTATTTTCAACAAATGTAAAAAGTTGTTCGCATCTATCGAGCGTCATGGAATCAAATATATCGCTAAGTAACATAACTGGCATGCTTGCTGTCGCCAAGTCCTTTCTGCATAGCTCGATGCAGAATGTAATGTAGGTCTCGAGAAGCGAAACATTGCTTGGCACTTGCTCTGATAAAATCACAAGAAGAGTGTCTCTTAATGCTTGATCAATTGCAGCTTTTCTGTCACTATCATTTGTACATCGTTCCGTGCATTTCTTTTGAAATGTCTGTATATCTGGTACTTTAAAACATTTTTGCAAGTAATCCTATGAAAAAAAAACAAACAGAACAACATTGAAAATATCAAGTGTATAACCTCAAAATGATCATTGTTCAAAATTATAAACACAATACTTACACTATATTCTTTTCTTAATACTTCGAACATAGCCATGATATAAAAGAAATTTACACGATGTACTCGAACAAAAAGTTAACAAGTTTACTTCGCTATGTATTAAGCATCGTGCAAGCTATCAATAACAAACTTGTTATTCAGTACTGAATAGTAACGACGAACTTCCTTAGCGCAGTGTGGCCAGATTTGGCATAATTGAGTGCATAGACGGCGACACTAGTAACGACGAATTTCCTTAGCGTTTAACGAAGTGGTGGGGAAAGCCGACATATCCTAATCCTACCGCACGAGCTACATGTTACGTGTGGTCAGCGTTTCACGCAACTTCAAAAAATCGATGAAGTTTTTGAAGTTTTTGAAGTTTCGAGCTATATAGGCACATACATATAAGCAAAGTCCATAATGGAAAAGAATTTACACGGAAATACACGTTTTAAGACCCCCTGATCATGTTTTTACTATCGAAAAAAAAGAAATTATCTTCATTGTTCCTATGAATGAGCATATGCATATACATTCGACCACCCCTGGGAAAAATTTTAATGGGAGATTCTAGAGGCCAAAATAAGACGAAAATCAAGGATACTAATTTGTTGATTGAGGCTTCGTTAAAAACTTATAGAAACATTTCCGGCCACACAGTATATTTTCGATAAAGAATTTTTTTCTCGAAAGTTCGTAGGATTTCGGGGGTATGTCTATTCACCAAAAATGATTGCAATTGACCCCCTCAACCGAAAATAATTTTTTCAGAACGATTTGAAATTTTTTAATTTTGTCGAAAAATGTATCCACTTATTGAATTTGTTTCTCGATTTCGAGAATATGTCTATTCACTAAAAATGGTTGTAATTTAGCTCTGCAACGATTATTGTACCTGTGAGTATGTACACGTATTAATGTGTAATATTCGAAAACGATTACATTACAAATTAGATAAATCCCTTGTATTTTACTTATTAAATAAATTTATTTTATAAATCTGTATCTTGAGACTCTATTTAACAATTTTAAAATTATGACTGATTTAGCAAAATAAGATACCAGTGTATGATTTTATTTACGTATGGATAATATGAAGACAAAATTAAAAAAATTCATACTTTGGATATTTTATTAAAATATACATTTCATCCAAAATACAAAAGGAAAAGATGTATATACAATTATATTCCGAAGGTCCTGCGCAATAATGATAATAACAACGATTACAATAGCAATAATAATAATAATAAAGTAATTGCAGCGTAGTAACATATTCGCAATTTTGTATAATTTTCACGCATACCTTGATAAATAAGTCCTAAAAATCGATGTATAAGTTATTGAATAAACGATTCCTCATTTCTATTAACATGTTTCCTTTTTTATCGCTTTCCGACGAAAAGAAATATTTGCTTTCAATTATCGTAATGCCTTCTTTTTTTTTTAATGGGTACTGATAAATATTTGCAAAATATCCTGCTATTTGGTAGAGTAAAATTCTATTATTGCCAAGCACAGTATACAATGTACTTAACATGGAATTCGAAATCCGGCCACCACGTACGTTTATTAAAAATTCCGATTATTATTAATCGTTGAACGTTCACGCAATTTAAGAGAGCATCTATACCCGTAGTTTATTAATAATTATTCTGCTTAATTACGTTCGCATCTGAAATTTCAAATTGCAATGAAAGTTATTTTACATGATATGTATCAAACCATTTTCTAATTTTTGTACCCTTTATCTTAATTCATTATTTAATATTGTCTCCTGCTGAATTTGCATAATTAGGCAGTGAAACATTGATTAAAATAATTTGTACACAGCGCTTCGACGCACTTCATACGCAAACGATCAAATTAAATTGCACATAATAATAATGCATAACTGAAAGCAACATTTTATTCGCGCTAATTGTTTCTTAAGTAATAAATCATTGATTTTCTGCCTTTGATTACTCATGTACGTAACATGTTTAGAAGTATTGAAGATCTTTCCAGGGTATTTATTACTTACAGCATCACTAATATTTAGATTAATTTGCTTATAAAATGTTTATGTTATTTTTACCATTTTTGTTTAACAGCAAGAGATAATGAATTAGAAAAGTGTCTAATATTTAAGGACTTCAATTAATTAAATCTTCTTGGCAATATTTGCTCACATTGTGACATAATTCGTTATTATTCATATTTCAACTGTAAGGTCGTTTGTTCTATTATTATCTATGCATATACTAGTAAATTTTACGTTGCGACAATTTTTAGACGTTTTAGAATTAGCGAGATTTTTTTTTTGTTTTTTTTTAATGACATGCAATATTATTTTTATTCCAAAATATAATAGACATAAAATGTTTGTTTTATTCTCATTGACATCAACTCCAAGGCACTAATAAGGCCTTTATCCCCCTCAGATGCGATAGAAATTAAAAAAAAGTTTAAAATATAACGAACTCGTGGGAGACTCTCGGCATGGTTGTCAATAATTTAAATTCGAGAACACTATAGCATGTATTAAAAATGAATGTAATGTAATTGTAGGCTTGAAGGTAATCTTAAAATATTATTACCGTAAAAATGAGAAATGTGTGAATAATATTTTAACATGATTAGGTAGATAGTTTCAAATCAGCAATATCATTCGATAAATTTCATTTAATACTGTTTTACGAAACTTTTCGAATGTATAGACATCATCATTATCACCGTCATCATCACTAGTTGTTATAATTACTCTCGTATCAGAATCGAACGATTGCCTCGTTAGCATATCATACAAAAGGGGGAGGGTGATAGTATATTCATGATAAATGTTTACAAATATAAAAGCAAAGTAATCAGACCGTGTTTCAAAACCGAAAACGGGTGATACTTTAGAAATAAAAAATATAACAATGTTTCGCTAATAAAGGCATTATTGAAACAAGTATTAATATAAGGGTTTGTTATTTAAAAAAAAAAAAATAAAAGGAACACGTGTAGAATGTTAAAACAAACCGTTAAAAAGTGTCTCCCACTGTTTCTTCTCTTTTCAAGATATGCTTGATCACAGTTATGTGCAGAATAACATACAATAATGCAGTAATAATACGAAATGATGATTCGTGCTATTAGCCACTAGTTTTTTACAATAAAAGTAAATGCTAGAGACTAAATGAAGGTTTCTCGTGCGATAAATAAATTCCTCTATGCTTTACTAAAAGCTAGTAAAGTATAGATCATTTTGTGAACTCCTAAAACAAAAGAGTTAATTCGATCAAAATTTTCTAACTTTACATAAACTCGTCGAATAAACTCTTTCTTTAAATATGTGTTTCATTTTAAATTAAAGCTAATGTACACAATTTACTTTTTTTTAGCCTACACTAGAACCGATGCGTTTTTATCGTGCAAAGCCGACTATTTGGCGCACACATCATACGCTTGTGTTATTAATTTTATATTAAACTTTATTATTTACATTTTATTAACGCATTCGGTGCTATTGGCTACAAAATAAGCAACAATAATCTTCGTTCGATACGAGTTGCGCAGCAATAACAAAATTTGCCGATTGCGTTACAGAGTTCCTCAACGCAAGTGCTGTTTGTATAGTAATAAAATAAATTTTAATACTGAGAACATGTGTGCCCTTTCTTACTTTCAATTATAGTACTTTGTACCTATTAATTTCCATTGTAACAAAAATTAATTGAAAACAATATTTTTCTAATAATTCTAAACCTATGTTTAGAATATTTAATCAAATGTACAGGTGCGTTGTATAATGTTATGACTGTTGATATGATATCAGCACGTTCCTATAGATAATTAAGAACATGTATAAAATACACTCGTAAAATAAAAAACTTGACACTTGCGTCTAAGGTCATGATTTATATACAAATTTTGTATTTTCCCCTTGACCACCATGAGTCATATTTGTAATAATAATACATCTGTAAAATACTAGATTCCCAGCACTGTTTTCAACAGATATCTGATTACAATAGTGTGAATTTGAGTATATATTCTTAATCTGTCACTAAATTCTATTATTTCAAAGGTAATTAATGCGGAATTATTAATTGACTGTGCATATTGTTACTACATTTGATTAAAAAGAAAGTGAAACCTTTCGAGAATGAAACACGTTGTCCTAAAACTGGAAATATCAGGTAATGCACATCGAGAAATTTTGAATGCTTTGAGATTCTTAAATTATCGACATATTTTTCGAGATTTTTCGTTTAATATAAAATAGTAACGTGAGTATGTTTTATAATTGAACAATGTTTTTCATTATGTGAAAGAATTCATTTTCCATAGATATTTTGTGCATGCATGATTTTTCTATCATACCTTGAACAATGAAATTAATTCTTTGATGGTGATCTTATAAGTAAATTATCGATCCTAGAGTTATGACGGAAAACTTGGTTAATATAAATAAAATCAAAATTTAGGCCAATCAAAATATTTACCTCGATGAAATTGTAATTTTTGCGCATCTCTATCAGTCATTAAACAATAAATAGTTAGAGACCAATATAATCAAAACTTCTGAGGAACCATTCATTTTAAATGTTCATGGACGAAGTGAGGAAATCACAAGTGTGTTCATATACATGATGTACCAATCGGCAATTACTTGCCGGTCATTACAACCATCAAGGCCATTCAGACATTTGTACAAAAACATTGTCAGAAATATTTCTGACATTCTATGTATTAACATTTTCATTTTATAATACTAGCTCTTTCCTTACTCTCCTCAGATAACATCTCTCGATACTTGAAACATTAATTTTTAATTTAACGACAGTAAAATCTGTCGACGAATATTTCCTGTTATGAAAATGTATAGTCTCAATAATTCTATAAAACAGAATATGTATACGCTACACGTAAAATAAGGTTATGTATTTTACCTATTATTCAACAGCAAAACCACAAGTTTCTTCAACCGCTTGTGTAAGTTTGTCAAGCATTTTCTGATAACACGGATAACTTTCTGGAATATCTATTCTATTGAAACAAGTATGCGCTTTTGGTAAATTTTCACTAGGCGCATCAACGGCATGAATTGTAAACAGACGTGGACCGGCAGCCCCTGTTGATCCTATGCAAATTAATTAACGATACTTAATAAATATAAAAAAAAAAAATTATTTTCATTCAATTGGATATATGCTTTTACCTTGCAAAGCTTTGAAACCCTGCAAAGGAACTCTGGAACTTCCAGTAACAAACTGAAGTAACCGAGCTCTCATTTCTTCTCCGTAAGATTCCACAATTTGCCAAAACCATTTTACCACTGGCGTATCGGGTGTACAATGTTTTAATCGTGTGTGCATTTTCCAGTCGTTAATATCAATAGTTCCTAAGCCACCTATAACCAATTCTAATTCTCTTTCATCAAATGGTCTTAACAGTTGAGGTGGAATTAGTTCGTGAAATCCCTTTTGTAATGCCAAAAATTGTTGTTCAATTCCTCGCATAAAGCGATAATTTACGTATAATCGGACATATTCCCTTTTATTTTCTTCGGTTACAGGAATGTCTTTACCACCCGGTTTTAATTCGTGGTTTTTCAATACTCCAAAACTACTATGTTCTACCGAAAATGTAGCATCCAACACTCCGTCTATACTATTTTCTCTGTCGATGGGACAATATTTTTGTAATATATTTTATGAAGATTTTATATATTTATTACTTTTGTTTACTTACAACATCCATGTAAGACTCCTATGTAACTCTGGATCGACTCCTTCTATATCGGTAAGAGTAATAGCTTTGTTAAGCAACATTTTATAAAATGGAGTCGTGAAACCACCATCTATATGATGACCATGGAAAACAGCAATTCCTATTATCCGGCCAGCGAAATGGAAGTATGATAAATGTTCTGGATTTATTCCTGAATCTGGATTGATTTGAAGCGTATAATTGTCGTCTCTCGAATATTGAAATAAACCATACTGTGGATTTAACATTTCGTGTGACAGTAAATATAACCACTCTCGTGCTACACCACCATAATCAAGACCTTCTTCGCCACGAAATTTAACCATAAGTCTTTTACGCATGTCTTTTGGTCGCATTTTCATTATTAATCTGTATGACTCCTAAACAAATAATTATATACGTATGAAATTTGTATTATAACTATCACCGGTTATGTAATTTGAAGAATAATATTCTAGTTATTTCTCAATTACGAAATTAATATAATGAAACACTCACTTCGAATATTTCATTTCGTGATACTTCGAGCCTACAATGCCCACTTTGAGGCTGAAGAGCATTCAATTCTGCTCTCAAACACTTCAACTTTGCAACTAAATCTCGTTTATATTTTGGCAGAAGTTCATTATCCATTAGTTCCTTTGGCAATTCAGACACGGTCTGTGCATTCTGGCTTGATGTATTCTCCACTATATTACAAATTACAAATGTATAAAACATAAACGAGAGTATTACTTTTACTGAAGAGTAGTAATTAAACTGCATTGATTACAACACTGTGCTCTAATGAACGAAATTCCCATAAAATAAAAATGCATTTCGGTGAAGTAAAATTGATTAATTATACATCTAACCACTGAAAAGATACTCCATAAAGATAAGATAAAATTGTATAATGTACAAATATTTTTGTTTTATTTCTATATCACGTTAAATAGGTTAACTTGTTTATAATTTAAACAGCACCGATAGTATCGATCAATTTTATACAAAATATGTTGTATAAATTTCATATATTCTGTGTTTATATACAAAATTTTATTTTTGGAATAAAAATATTGAAATATTACTTAGACTTACATGTCGGTGAATTATTATTACTTCCACTTTCTGTTCTTGGCCTTTGTTGAACTGTAATGCATACAATGCTTGGTGATGCAGGCGTATCCGCTTCTGCCGTTTCATTCGCAGTTGTCACCGAATTACTTGAATTATTCGTTTGAATCGTTACGATATTATTTTGTCGCTTACTGTTATAAAACAATAATTTCACAATTTACAAAACGAAACTTTGAAATTCATTTGAATATTTTCATTTACCATTCACTTACTTTAATAAAATGCTTATAATTTGGCTGGACAATCTAGGATCAGTAAATTGTGTACTTCTGTTATTATGATCCACAAAATAAACACGACCGCTTTGCGTTTGTCGCATTTCCCAGCCACTGGGTAATGGTCCAAGTTCATTTACCAATTCATTTGCTGGTAAATCACGAGGTATTCTAGGATCATGCCATGTAGATGAACCAGTTGGCACATGATAAAAATATACTTGTCCTTGTTGCGTTTTCCTCATTTCTGTAAAATATTTATTTCATTTTTATCCAATTTTTGCATTTATTTTCATACATACAAAAGACTGTAATAATCTGATACTTACCATAACCTCTAGGTAAATCTGGTGGTTGCGGGGGATCATATCTCCTCTCATTGTTCAGTATTGCAATGTTTCTATTTCTATTACTTCGATTAGGCCTACGCGGTTGACCATTATTAATACTACGATCTGGTCTGGCATTACCACTTTGATTGCCATTTTGTTCATCAGCTGCTCTAACTGGTCGTCGTTCCCGCACTGACGCTGGTGTTACATTTCTTGTATTATGTTGATTTTGTTGATTTCTATTTTGCTGTTGGGTTGGTGTATTTCTTGGTGTATTAGAAGCAGAACTATCTCTGCTAGGTGTTCTACTAGGCGTTCCTTCCCCGTTCCATTCAGGAGTACTATACCTCGTAGGACTTTCAGTTGTTACATTAGGAGGACTTCCACTACCACTGGGAGAAGTAGATTCAGAAAAAGGAAGCGGTGGTGGCTCAGGTGTAGTTGGTATAATACCATTACTAGGTCTATTACAAAAATCAAATTATATAAGAAAATTTAATATTGGAAGTTTACGATGTTTCTGTAACAAAAATTTACCGAGCATTTGGACGAGTCCACTGTGTAGTTCTAGTATAATGATTAACATAGTAAAGTCGTCCACTCCGAGTTCTCCTTTCTTCCCAACCGTCTGGTAAATCTGTCGGACAACTCAGGTCCCCAAGGACATCCACTACAGCATTATGACCAACTGTATTACTCACAGCACCATTATGACCATCCCGTGATAACAGAGATATAACAATTTGTCCTTTAACAACATCAGTATCATCCGAGTGTGCTTTGCAAAGATCTAATCGTTGATCTACAAAATATACAAACGTTTAATAATCAAACATCATGAAAGTAATATTCACGGTTACATATTACTATAAAAAGGTATAATTACATCCTGTATCCTTAAGTCTTTGTATTGTATTGGATAATATTCGTACACATCCCAGAAAACCTCCTCCTTTCTTTTTATGAATTTTTTTATGATTCCAAACTGATATAGTGATACCGTCGTTCTTCCCAATGTATCTATAAAAGGAAATTAAGAATTGAAACACTTTTCATATATAAAATCAACCATATACTATAATTGTAAAATAATTACAAGTCATAATGTTGATTCCATTTGGGATCTAGTGTTGCCTTACAGGTATCAGTGCTATGACACTGACCCGAACCATCGACCGTGATTTTAGCAAAAGGATCCGGTAGGCCTAAAATAAATATTTTGCGATCAAGTATTCTTTTACAACTTCGTTTCTTTTTCATGCAAAAAATACTCACGGAACAGATCTTTTCTTGCAAGATTACGGGCACATAAAACTGCAAAATTTATATAATGAAATTACAAGCTCAGCCTGTATTAACACACTTTAACAACGCATATAACAATTATGAAACAAATAATATAGTATGTAGATAAATAGCTTAAAAGCAAAATAATTCCATAAATATATTACTTTAATAGCCTACAAGTATATTACAACTACGTATAAATATTAATTTTATATAATTTTTTCTTTTAAATAACTCGTTCAGTTTTATCAATCTCTTTTTTTTAAACAGAGGATGACATTAAATAACAATCGACATCATAGTCGGTTTAAAAAAGAAAATAAAATAGCAATTTTTTATTGCGAGTCTGTTGTACATTGGAATATTATAATCTTTTTATATATACAATGAAGTTTAGGATTTGAATAGTAACAAAATATCAACAACGCACGTTTCAAAGAAATATTCAACTCGCGCATCGATACTAGGCGTCTGACATTTGTTAATTGGACCTATTCACGTTTGATTTGATCTCGATTACAATCCTCGTTGAATCAATCAACACTGAGTAATTTTAAACTTAAAAATGCTTGCAACAATTGTAACCCTCCGGAGAGTGTTAAGATATTAAGGGAAAGGCAATGCGGGCGTGACAAGTTCACCAAAATTAACGTTGTCGGCCTACGGTCTCCCGGAGTGCTCACGGTGGGGTCTTGACCTCCGATAGGGAGTTGCCATAACCAAAGGACGAAAACCCTAGTCAAACCTTTTTGCGTATCTCCATCGTATTACACCGAAAGAACAAAAGCCAATATCCGCGAAGGCTGCTTTGACGTTTCTCGTATACGGCCCTCCATAAGGTTTACGACGGTGCCATATTAACGAACACACAACAAATACAAGACACGAAAGGGATCACAACGCGTGTTGGTATCGGCCGACTTTCCTCTCGCGGGTAGAATCATTGTGATTTCCTGATAAACTCACTCGTCAAACGAATCTTCATGGCCCCATTCCTCCTACTACCGCCCGGATTCGACATTTTCCACGCACATTTAACGCTTCCTACTGCACATCGGCACTCTAATTAGTAAATAAAGCTGCTGCCTCGAAGCGGCGGTGCAATCCGCACACACGCAACCATGCACGATCGACTGTTGCAGCTGATCGACCTTACCGACCGTATCGACACGAGTTCCTTACGCCGACTCGAGACTCTCGATATATCGAAACTATTCCGCGGTTCGTTAGACGCTCACAAGGTTTCAATTTCTCAAACACTTTTCAGTAAACTTCAAGTTATATAATAAAAATCAAGTGAGATGTGGCTTAAAATTGCATCCGACAGAACATAACAACTTATCTCAAAGTTAACATTCACATGATAGTATAGTAAAACTAAAACATCGATTTAACGATATTCGATTTAATGAATTTCGGATGCAACCCTCCAGACGCGGACAATGTGGGAACAACATTTTGCAATTTTTGTCAATTTAGTTCTACCCAATTGCGTGGGCCATCCTATAATAGAATACATATAATGTCGAGTCATTTTTGCTTAGTCATTGACCTTACGAAGGCTGACTAAAACGTTTGACCCACTACGATTCTCTATTTCTATATATTATATATTTTTCCCCCTCTTGAACGAACAGTACGAACTCTTAAATACAAATATAAAATTCATAATATAATATTGTTTTTATTATCGAAACATTGAATAAGTCACTAGCATTATAAAGTTCTATTTCTCAACCTATGTTCACTATCTTTTACTTCGTTCAGCTACTATCAAATGCTTTAAGTCCAGAATCCTTTTTTTCTAACGGATTACATGCGAAATTTACTTCCGTAAATACGTGTCTAAATAACACGTATTTAAAAAAATTAAAGAGAATTATTTATTTTGCGTAACTGTATGCAGGTACATGTATTGCACAATAACATTTACAATAGTTTGTTACAAATCATTCGAGTCAATTGTAAAAGTGATCAGAACGGATAAATACAGTTATTAAACATTTATATTTCGATCTTAAAATAGTGAAAAACGTATAAATTAACAAGTAAACCGTAATAAACGTGATAAGCGAGTTACAATATGACACGATAGAAAAAAATGTTACTTCTGCGCAGTAACCGTTGTTTCATTTTTATGCAGCGTACGTATAGAGCGCAATCATTGCTTAATTTATGTGCAATAATAATGGTTACACTTTCACTGGCCTTACGTTAGAGAAGGACTGCCGCTTAATACAGAAAAACATTTCGATGCAATTTTAACATTGTACACCTAAAATTTGTAGTTATAAATACTACTTTCATTGTACTATCTAATACGAATTTACGTCAAAAAATATATAAAAAACATTTTCTTTGGAAATAAAATACATTTCGCGTTCAACGAGTACGAATGTATTTGAATGCTTGCGATCGAAAACTTCGAAGAGTATGTTTCACGTTCGGTCATCTTCCTAACGTAATAATGAAACATCATTTCAGTCAATGTTTATTACAATGTAATGCTTATAAATTAGTTTAATAAAATATGTGACTCTGGTAATTATATTAAAATTAATTAATTTATAAATAATTATGAAACGATGAGTCTAAACAAGTCCTATTGTTCAAGAAGGTTTTAAGATATCGTTATAACCGTATTGGCAAAGCGTTGAAGAAAATATTACAACACACGTAGCAAATGTGTATAATTTACTATAAATATGAACTGTGTACCAAGGTGATAAAAAGGACTTATAAAAAATTTGTACATGCTACACAGTGTTACCTTCTCTCTAAAATTTCCCAATACAATTCTAATAATCGTGTTTAATCACAGTCATAACAATATTTAAAAAACTTCACTATAATATGTGTGTTTCGTTTATTCTACAAAATTCTATTGTGTCGCGAACTATGGGGGCATCCCATTGTTATTTACTACAAGCGTTCAAATATCTTCGTAACTCGTCGTACGAATATCCCTTACATTCGTTGTCTATTCTATGACTTTTCTACGAACAGTAGTTACAGCCATATTAACACGAAAGAAATATTTTTCGAAACCATGTACGAAATTTACCTTTTTATACAAACAGCTAAAATATATCTCTACCCTCGGTGACGAGTCTGACAACATTATTAACAAATTCCCTTTATTTGTACTTCGTTTATCGTTTCGTAATTTCACGCAGCTCCGTAACAGGGAATACTGTTCCCCAAATCTGTTTCACAACGAGGGACCTTTTCCTTTAAACTGTGCGACGAAGTAGAATCGTTTGATCTTTGGCAGTATTTTCTTTTTTATCGATGAAACGTCCGCCAGCTTCTTATCGCGGAATGTGATTGCACTGATTGAAAACAAATGACGATTGTGCGGTCCGTGGCGTTATTTAAAAATATTTTTTCTCTTATGCTTCCCCTCGGAACGTGAGGATCGAGTCGACAAGGAGCAACGCTCCCTCGATTATGCTGATGGATCCTTTGGCGAGTCCTGTATCGCGGAAGGAGCTCCTGTAACCCAGGTTCAAGAAATAGTCGATATTTAGGGCGCCGACAACGATGAACAGAGCGCAGCCAATCAAGCTGAAGAAGAGATCCTGCGAAAGTAACATTTTCATGAATCATCAAGATATAAGATTTTAGGATTCGTTTGGAATTTTAAATAAAATAAATTAAAGTGACAATAATTGGGTCGTTTACTTAATTATAGTTCGACTTCGCGCCTTCGTGGACGTGAGACTACGACTCGCGCGAGCGTCGGGTTGCCTATTGTTCAGGGGCATCCAAAAGCACGAGACAAACACGTATCGAACGCAATTTCGATAGAAACTTTTCTATTTTCTATTATACTTAATTGGTTCTTTACGTACCACGCGACGATTTACTGGGGTTCCCATCAGATTACCAGCGCATAATCCCACGAGAATAATTAGATATCCACCAAAGGTGCCCATCGTAAACATCGCGCTGTATATAGTTCCAACATTGAAGGAGTGGTAATGCAGTCCTATGAGGACACATACCACCAACTGAAATTAATAATAAAAATTTACATAGTATAAATAATGGTACCTAGACATAGAAAATAATAATTGTCCAGGATCCGAGTCGAGGGAGAAAAATTATTATAACCGTCGAAAGTATATTAATAATAAAAATTTACGTAGTATAAATAATAGTACCTAGACATAGAAAATAATAATTGTCCAGGATCCAAGCCGAGGGAGAATAATTATTATAAGCGTCGAAAGTATTTCACGCTGATCTTAACAACGAGTATGAATAGCGTTTTTTGCATAGGCACATGTGTGTTTCTGTACTGCGCGACATATCTTAACGGAACAAGATAATTATTGGTCTACTTGACTCATTCATATTTATGACGTAGAAGCTTGATTTATCGTGAAAAGTGAATAAACATGATTTTGCTTTCATTGATAAATGTTTCCTGATATTAGTATTTGAGTGATCGTTTCTTTAATAATATTTAAAGCTTTCGTCGGAAGGGAATGCACGGAAAATATAATATTTAACTGTGCCTCCGTGGCCCGTTGCCCGTAATAATTAACATTACAAAACGAACGAGGCATAAAAATGGTAGTTTCCTTAAATAGGAAAGTTAACTACACGAAACTGGGCCGATGGAACAAGTACAGCGACTCCATCGATGTAACCATAAATAACGCATTAACATTCTGCCATTGCGTTCCAGTTACGAACTTCATTCTATTTCGAGGGAACGGGTGTTAGTTTTGACTGCAAATTCAACACGTGCCGTGGCTTATCGTTCATTGCAGAAACCCCAGTCCTTTTCAGAATGTATTCTTTCGCCATTTTTAAGCCATAACCGTCGCCATACGCATTGCATCGTTAATTGATTGTATATTAACATTACATCCAAATTTCTTATTGTTCAATTTCTTTTTTTGAATGAAATTAAACACCTACCACCAACTACCACTGATAACAAATATACGCTGAAGTTAGTTCTATGAAGAGAGTACAATTCTTACTATTTCTAAAAAATCATAAAGCTGTTAAAAATTCATCGCGTTAATTCGAATTTATTTTTTTCTTAGAAGCAGATTTTTGGTTATAAATTACTATTTTCATATATTATATTCAAACTCGATACGCAATATGTGACAGATGTATGTCGTATGATTATTATCTGCCAGCAAATTGATATCTGTATCGAATGGAGCTTTTATTAAAGATACGTGTATGACATGCACTTACAAATTCATTTATCTCGATAGTAGAAGCGCGTACAAAAATATTTCATTTTACATTTTAATCTGATTCGGTCGAAAAAAACATTTTATTAGAAAAAAGAAATTACGGAACACTCTGTATAGAATGAATAATACGATATTAATACAATTTGTAACGTTTGCCAGAAAGGTCCGATAATTGCTTACGCGTATAGCGCAAGACTATAGCGACAAATAAAAGAGAAAAATCTATAATTCATTTCATACTGAAACAATGAGTTTTGATTAAATTTATTTTATAAAATTTGTCTCCTATTAGTCATTCCTGCGTTTAATATTACAAAAATATTTCATTTTACATTTTAATCTGATTCGGTCGAAAAAAACATTTTATTAGAAAAAAGAAATTACGGAACACTCTGTATAGAATGAATAATACGATATTAATACAATTTGTAACGTTTGGCAGAAAGGTCCGATAATTGCTTACACGCATAGCGCAAGACTATAGCGACAAATAAGAGAGTAAAAACTATAATTCATTTCATACTGAAACAATGAATTTTGATTAAATTTATTTTATAAAATTTGTCTCCTATTAGTCATTCCTGCGTTTAATCATTTGGTAGATTTCCGATTGAATCATCATTGATAATGCATTATTTCATAGTTCGAAGGTAATAAATGACGATGCGAACGATGTTTACAAGATTTTTTAAGAAAATATTAGCAGTATAGTAAAATCAAATATTAACACGTTTACTTCCGCGTCCCGTGATGCAACTCGTTGCTATGATCAGAATAAAATCCATAAACTTCGACGAGGCTGTCAAAATTAATATTTGTTTTCCGAACGCAAAATTCTGGCTTCGATGAAACGATCAACCGATCAACGCAGTTAAGGTACAAAAAGAATCCTAACGGAAACTTGGGTAGTGGTTGACTTCCGGTTTGAGGTGTGACCGTAACAAGAAGCGAATCTCTCACGTAGCAATCACTAGCTATTATGTCATTTTTCATTCTGTTAGACTCTTTAGCGAAGACAATTGTGCCTAGTTTACGCATCTCACGTTTAACACTGATTCATATCGTTCTGGAAAAACATGAACACCAAGGCCAGCAAATTTAAAAAAATTATTGAATCGACGTAAAAAACATTGTCGACAAGATAAGTTACTGTGAACGTATACGTGTTATCGTGTAAACTAGGATAACACACGAAATATAGTACATTTGTTTAGTAGAAAAAGAAACGATTTCAAGGATTTCAACGTCGATCATACCGATGATTTAAAATAATTGAAATTCAATGACTACCATATTTTCGATCGATAGGGCTCTCAATTTTTGGAGATTGATGACCACTCAATATTCTACCTTTAGTTTCGTTAATTACATAATTCTGGAATAATAATATACCCAACATCAACTGTGCATTGACGTAGTTGTTGAATAACTGAATGTTCAATCATTTCGTTGATTATTGTATTACTCACCAGTTGCAAAGACTTGATGATAGCGAGTCTCGAGAGGGAGACCATTTTTGTTTATCTGTAAAAAGAAAAGTTTGATACTGTAATTGAATTTAAACATTGTTCCTAAATTGGCAGATGCACGACACTTTTCATTTATAAAAATTGACTTTCTCTCTTCTCATTGGAGTCACCGATAGACTTCTAATGTAAATAGCAAACGATTACACATAGCGTTTGTTTGATTCACTTTATTAATGTAAATCGATTTGCAAATAATACTGGTGAAGACTTGATGCAATTTGTATGCGTTTATGCAGTTCTTTTAATAGACACGTGCCATCATCGACGAGATCAACATTATTCATAATATCATGTTTCAATTTATTGACATGACAAAATAGGGAATCTTGGAAAGATAAAGTGTTAAAGACTCATTCTGACTCTGGAGAGGATGTCAATATTTATTATTTTAAGAGAAAAGCTAAGTAATTTGACTTGTTTGTTCGTAAATAAATTGTCAGAACAAATAAAGTTTGTTGACTTTACAAGCATCGATGAACGTTAAACGTTTCGTTCTAGGGAAAGCAACAATAACAGCAATACCGATGTGTTTTCTAACAGATCTAGAACGAGACGCCAGAATATCTGCAGTTGCTCGTAAAACCAAAAAAAAAGATTTCTTTCTTTTAGGAGAAAGTTCGAAATGTGGAACACTCTCTAAAGAATATTTTCAGAGTGGCATCAGACAATTTAACAATTTTTATATGCTCTACTTAGGATACTACAAAACATCGTTGTGGTGATTCACAACAGTCAACGACAACAATAACCAGTCACTAAAGTTATATTTAGATATTCATGAGGTGACACAAGAAACGTAATATCGACGGTGGCCGTAGCCTAAAATTTAGATTTAAGGCTCTTCGCGTAGGAAGTGCATATTTTCATACTTCGCGAAGTCGTGTACAAAATTTTGCCGTGTGTTTGGTTTATAAAGCACGTAATTGGTGTTCTGTATACCACAGAAATAGACCCGGCGATCCAAGGCCAGGATATCCGAAAGTTGCTCACGATATTCGTAACGTTTGTTTATATGGTCTTTGTTATCTAAAATATGAACGGAAAATGAAAAGTTCCCGCGGGTCACGTTGTATTAACTTGCAAAGTCAGAACTCAAAAGAAAGTTACGCATTAACGGGCACAGTCATTGACCGTGAGGGGAAACCTTGACTCAATTTTTACAATTTCTCTTGATGTAACGTCTTTGTTACTACAATAGTGTAATAAGCGAATGATAACCGAAATTTTGCAGAAAGAAAAATATCTCAGGCACGACGACGATACAGTCTTAATTTTAATTTTAAAACTCATTTGAATATTAAATACGTATATATTGGTGAATTCGACACACTCTTAAACAAATTGAAATAGCTGTATTTAAAAAGTTTGAATATAAATGGGAACTGTTCCGATTTCGAGCTTATTTGTCCACTGATTGTTTATCCTTCGTTTACAAAAATCGTAAATGTTATCGTGCTATGTTCGAGAGTGAAATTGTTATTGTCCCGCTTAAAATAAATTTAATTTACGCGGACTTATAAAAGTTAATCTTGCAGGCAAATATTTCTCTTTGCTCTTATCGTTAAATTGTATGAACAGCTTCTTATACTTATAGCGTGTACTATATTTTGTTTAGCTTGTTTGCAACAACCAAACCGAACGTACTAATTTTTAAGCAATCTTTCATTTCACTTCGATCGCAAGATTAGATAAAAAAAAAAAAGTGTTAAACAGCAAAGTGACATTCGTCTTTTGAAGTTGATACGACATCACAAATTTCCACGAAGGTTATCTGAATAAATGACCTACAATTATGATAAAACTCTGACACACAGATGTCTCATAACCGAACTATCAAAAATCACAACAGAAATACTAAGCAGCTAGTTCTGTACGATTCTTATAATAGAACATGTGGTCGGTGAATTTACAAAAAAAAAATCCTGAATCGAGAAGTAATAAAAACCATATTTGAGGAGCACAAAGAAAAAGAAATGACTTATGTTCGCGCGAGATATTGATATCTGTGTATCACGCCCGGCATAATGTCAACAGTGAGCTAATAAATATCGAGTGTCAAACGTGAAAGCAATTTAGCGAAGTAAACTGTATAATAGGCTAATGACAATACTGAAAAAAAATTTTTATCTTTAGCACCGACGTATACAAATTGTTTATGAAATTAACTTTGCAACAGTCTTGTTACGTTAATACAAAGGGTTATTAATATTATATTACTTTGACTATTTGTCTCGTTGTTTGTCTGTCACTATGTTACTTAATTTAATTCGGTTCATCAAATGTAGAGAATTACGTTAATCTCTTTGTAGTTTTTACACTCCTTAACGATATTCTTTTCGGCGTCTGGTAACGTAAATAATCATAATACATAACATAAATACTAGTTTGTTTACTATTACAATCTGAACCCTTTACTCGTGTGTTAAAAAATTAAAGTCGACCTACTTGGTTACCGAAGGCGAACTTCCCCGACAGACTCGATGGCTTCGTTACACCGCGCGTAGATGTTCACAAGACGACGGTTTAGCAAGGACTAATGCCGAAGACTGAACGCGTATTGTGAAGGAGCGACGCCGGGCACCGTTTTTTACGACCAACCGAAACAGGGCTACGTTTACGCGTTCCATTAGGGTGACTTCACACATGAAACAGAATACTATAATCGTGTCGACGGAAGAATCAACTTGGGAGGAGACTTATCATCGTTCTTCCGTCGCTCTGTTGGGTGATGACTAATAATCTAATCAATGCATCATACAAATACTATCAAATTACTTGATCGTGCGACGTCTGCTTAATCATTAATTCATACATGTTACGCTTCTAAATTAAATTTATACCGTACGGTTCTTGAAGTTTATAAACCATTCTTTTTCCTTAATCGAAATCATTAGTCATAGTATTCTTATGCTGATCTGACGAGTCAAAGGTGAGTTGCTACTTTGAAAATTCATTCAAACTATCATAACTTTACGCGAGAGCAGAAAATCAATGTCAAACAGCTCTAGAGCGGGTATCGTAGTTCAAGGTCGCCATTTCGAACGTTTAAATTTCAACTTAAAAGCGAAACATATAAATTCCTCGATTATTACGTCTGTCTCACGGATGGAAATATTCTTCGTCGTAACTTTCCTCTCGTGACCCTGTGTGGCCTTGAACCGTAGGTCATCGTATTCGTCTTACAAGCCTCTACTATAAGGTAAATAAGAAAATATATATTGTTTCGCTTTAACACTGTTTCTACCAAAGACATCGAAAGGACAGTTTAACTCGGGAATTTTCGGATCTCTAAAAACAAAACATCTCAGAAAAATACGATCATTATTGTGACCGTAACTTTATGCACTTACATTACACGACTATGTCTGCGCACGCATCGTGTGTAACCTCCATTTTACTACAACCCTGTGGTCACCGTAATACAGTGTCTCTCAAATTATGTTCCACACAGATTTTCTCCCAGTAAAATGCACCAACTACATCAATGATTGTACAAATAAAAATTTTAATCGTGTTTCATGATCAGACCTGTAAATGAGAATATCAACTATTAAATAATTACTTACAAAGCAGACCATGACAAAATTTATATAATGTTTGACATGATGATGCGAGGAACAAAGTTCTGTTTTAATTTCATAGAGCTCCATAAAGATCGTATGTCGGCCTGCTATAATCTCAGCTAAATCTTCTAAATCAGGTTTTTCGCGAATTCTATTACGAAGAACGTTACACCGTTCCTACGCCCTCGCGAGTGACATCATTTCACTGATTGCGCGGTGACGTCATATTGTGCCACTCGGATACGAAGCATCGTGAAATTCACATACTTAAGTGGAATTTATAGCAGCGAACTCCAAGAACACGCGTATTGCATCACATTCCTTAATAGACATTACCTACGCCAGTATGAAGAAAACGTCATGGTCGTAGTACATAGTACATACTCGTCGAGTACCCGAGGAAAAGTGTCTCACAGAATGATATAGTTGTGCATATAAATCCTTCTAATCGACGTATAGAAATTATTTATTTGGAACTGTACAAGTGCAATATAACGAGAAAACTACTTGTACATTACTCGTTCAATTTATACTATTGTTGTCGCCGTATTAAATAATCTGTAATTAAAATAAAAACAAGAGATGTACAGTGATTGAAACGTTTGTAAAATTCTATTTATCTGAAAATGAATTTGTACATACCAAACTGCATAGTAGTTGATAACACTGGGGAATAAATTATTTATCTTGACAATAAATTTATTTTGTCTTAAAAGGTTTGAACAACAATTTCAAGTTATTTTTTAAATACTTTCCCTGTTGAGCTTATTTGTATTGCTTTGGCGATAGTGTTATTTTCAGTTAATTCGTATGCAATTGATGCGTCTTATTTTAGATAACCACGATGCATTAAACAAACATTATATTAGGTACGCGCAAGCAATAATTTTATTCGGAGGGCCACGTAGCCCCCTTACCATTTTCGTGTCACGTCCGATGTTACCAATCCAGAAAAGAAAACGCCAAGAATTATGATTGAATTTAGTTAATTATACCACAGACGAGGTATACGAGTAGACCTTTCACCCAATGTATTTTTTCGGCCCATTTTTCTGGGGCACTAGAGTCCCATTACCATTTCCGTGTCACTCGCAACGTTACCGACAGATTTAGAAATAAACACAAGAGAAAGTGAGACAGAAAATGAAGTTACATAAATTTTTTAACGGAATGAAAGCTGTGCAGTCCAGAATTGAGCATCAATCGATTAATTTCATTCGAGTAACCAATCGATTAAAATTATTTCAAGATTATTAAAATACGTAAGGATGTACCTCATTGACAACTATATTGAAAATTCTCTATTTTTTATTTTAAATTGTAATACATCATTTATTTAAAAAATAACTCGGCATGGCAGTCAGATTGGGTCATCAAAGTCCATAAGGTGAAAGGTCTATTTATATACCTCGTGTGTGTCTCGCAAAGCATCATAAGAGAATCGGTAGCCTGGAATGTTTATTGCATTTCTTTTACAATCGCGATTCTTACCTAGGGTAACCTCGACGAGAATTTTTTTCTCGAAAATGCGTAGGATTTCGAGGGTATGTGTATTCACCAAAAATGATTGTAATTGATCCCTGGAACCGAAAATAATTTCTCCAGAGTGATTTGAAACTTTTCAATTTCGCCGAAAAATTTGGGCACCTACCCCCTGTCAATTTTCCTTAAAAATTCGTTTTTGATTTTTAGTCATTTTGTTCGACGCCCTACAGAAAAGTTGTCTAATACGTTTTGTAGGTATCCATAAGCTCTACTTCAGAAAAAAGTTTCATTGAAATATATTCGCTATTGTAGGTGTTATGGCCGTTTGAATATTGCGTTTTTTAATCCGTTCCATAGTCAACTCACATGTATTTACGTATACACTACACTGCTGTCTACAAATGCTATGCAGTGAATAGTTTCTCAACTGACCGCCATCCATTAGAAGAGGCCGCTAAAATTCACCTCCGAATTTTCAGGTCGGTATGGCAGTCAGATTGGGCCACGAAAATCCATCAGGTGAAAGGTCTACTCGTATACCTCGTCTGTGGTGAAAATTTTACTCGTATATTTCGTCTGTGGGGTCACCAAAGTCCATAAGGTATAAAGTCTACTCGTATACTTTGTCTGTGATCATATTAAACCCGATCGACGTCAAAAAATTATTTATACATTGTACGGTCGTATAGTTGTAAAGTCATGATACTTTTACATTACTCGAACTAGTTATGAACTTTAGTTAGTTCACAACTTTAAATGGAACTGTACAATTAATGAAAATTACTTGCAACTGTAACTAAACAGAGTAATGCGAATAATTCGTACTTCGCAACTCAGGTGTATTTACACACAACTATAGTTTGTTTACCCATCACCCTATAGTTTCTCAACTGACCGGCATCCATGAGAAGAGGACTAATTTGTGCCTCTCCCTGTAAAAGTAATTTAGAATTGAATAATATGAATCAATGACCATTCATATAATAAGCAATTTAAATAAATTAAAGATGTTTGTTTTATTCAAGGTAATTATGACATAGAAAGATACAATGCAAAATTCAGAGACATTTTTCGAAAAATAGTAACCAATTCTTTGTAAATTTTGCAAGAAAATTTAAAAAATATTATTTCTATATTTTTTTATACTATTTATATTTCGCTTACATTGAAAACTTTAGACATATATATATATATATAATTTATATATGTCATTATGTAAAATCAAATATACAACATAGTATAATGCTATTAATATGACTAGAAATAATTATTCTGGTATTTTGAAACAGATTAAGCTGAACATTACATTTGTCTCTTAAAACACACACCTTTTCAATAATCGCTTAATAATTTTGTTTTTAATTATTCATACACATTAAAGCTCATTTTTGTACTTTGTATTAAAATAAGTTATTACATATAATGTGAAGTCATCAAATTTTTGCAAAATCTGGATAAAACCGATTTAATGTTGTCTCGAAATTTAACATAAATTCTTGTATGTGTATATCAATAATGAAATTATGTTTACATAAATGGTATCATTTTTAATAATAATTTTACAGCAAAAGCTTTTTAATCGGTTTTTAAGTAGTACTACCTCCTGATTCATTTTCTTTAAAGTATTATTTGAAACTAGCATAACCAATTTTTTCAAAACGATAGGACAAACCGAAATATACAAATTTCTCGTGCAAACAGAGATTGGAAAGTCTTTTATCATTATGCAAACTTTATATGTAAACTTCAAATGCTTATATCATTAAAATATAAAGCCTCAGATTGTAAAATGATAAAAAAATTTCTTAATTTCTTTTCGCGAGAGAAATTTTTACGTTTCGACTTGTCCAATTGTTTTGTCATACTCTGTATATATTATATGCACAGGGCCAATTTTTATCTATAAATTCAAATTTCTTGCAAATTACCCACTGTATAAAGAAACAATTCGATTATATTCAAAATATAGACCATTCTAATTGCACGATGAAACCTATACACACTCGCACATAACCATTTTCGTCCATGAAGGTCAAAGTGAGTGACATTTAAATTGACAAAAGTTACTTATTTAATCGATCTCTTTTTCAAAATTTTTTTATGGTAATCGAACTTTTATATACATCAAAAATTTCATACACATACTACAGATATACTTAATTCGTCTGTATATCTCCAAAAAATAAAAATTAGTGTGGTAGATTTCAATTTCCGCGTATAATATGTACAACTTTGTAAGTATACTTTAATATAAGTATACACCAAGGTAAGTAACTACTGAGAAGCTATCATTCGCATATAACCAAAAATTTTTAGTTCTACCTAATCAAAAAAATTTTCAAAGCAATTAAGAATCTAATAAAATAATTGACACAGTTTAATCATTAAAATCAAATACGTTTCTCTGGCGATACTTATTAAAAATTTTAATATACAAGTTCGCAGAAATATTCACATAGTAAATTGAAGCAGGTAACTAAAATGTATGCAAAATAATTGTTTTACTTGAATCATTGCCCAATTAAAGTGTATATAAAATTATCAGTTGCTTTTAATTCTATTCTGCATAATAATAACTTCACAGTTCACATGTCTGCAACTCTCATGCAATGTTTAATTCATCAATTTCTTGACTATCAATTATTTCAAATTCACTACCACTTTCATCACTATGGCTAATTAATTTTCTTGATATAGGTTCAAGTTCTGCTTCTTCTTCAGAAGATGATCCTTTCTCAAAATGACCACTTTGAAATTTAATACCATCCACATCAGTTTCTTCAGCACTAAGTTCTAATTCAGAAACCTCTACACCGTCAATGCTTCCTTCTTCGTGCGATGGCATTTTTAGACCTACAAGGTCTTCGTCGTTAAAGAATTCTATAATTAAAAAACTTATTTATTTTTTTAGAATCATTAACAACAACAACAACAATAATAATAATAATAAATTGGTAAATACTTTTGAAAACATGTTTTAAATTATTTTTCTTACCATTTTGAGCATCGGATATCACACTTGTTGGTGTTGGAGATTGATCCCCTGATTCTCCTGCTCTTGTAAGAACCTGAAGATTGTCTTCAGTTACTGCTGGTAAAAATTCTTCAATTTCACTATCCCATTCTGTACAAAGAAGTTTTTGGATTATCATGTTCATTAGTTCATATGTTAATATAAATATCATTTTTGTGTTGTTAATAAGCACAGGACCTTTTGATACATAATGAGATATTAGTCACCTTTATGTAATATCATCTTACTGGGTAGCTTTAATAACAATGCAGGACCAAGCAGAATGCTCATGCATATCATATATGCAAAAATTACACCATTTATGGTGCGACCAATAATCCACAGGCCCAAAGAAAGAGAACATACAGCAGTGCAAAACTAAAATCATATTTGATATAAAGAGTACATTAATTTTTCCAAATACAAATTTATATATATATATATATAAAACCATCCCATACAGAAAGGATTAACAATAATAAGTTATTTATTCCTATTTACATATTATGAAATTGAATAAATGAAACTTTACCACTCTTGGTTGATCTCTCCTCAACTGCTTTAAACTATGAATTGCTGATTTCACCCTTGCCCCTGCCTTTTCAATATATTCTGTTTTTGCATAGAACCTATAGATATACTATTTATGTCAATCAGACTGATCTTAATATATGAGGACAATTATTTAACATTTTGGTACTTACGTAGCTGGGTCTGATGCTTTAATCTCTTTTTGAAGTTGGGCTTCAAAGGTAGTGTAACAGAGGACTATGACCAGCGCAGCACTGCTGGCTGCAGCAAAGCCACGTACCTCAAGTACAACACTTCCCCTAAAAAAGAAATATAGAAATTAATCCCAATATATATAATAATTTGCATATTTTAAAGTTCAATTTCTCTGGATCCAACATTAAAAATCAAGTAATAAAATTATATATATTTTTATAATTCCATTATTCCTCATAATATGTAAAAAAAAATTATTATCAAAGGAAATATATGCATATAGAAAGTTTTTTTTAATTAACGTATAAGTTTGTTAGAAAATTTACGTGTTAACGGCAACAGCATAATCTTTAATCGCGCGATTATACTTTTTAATTACCAACATGCACTGCCATCTAGGATAGCACTATGGATCTGGTGGGAAAATATGCTGGGAAGATGCAATTCATTCGACAATGCAAACACGGATGTCATGAATAAATGTAATCGAGGAGAAAGGAATGACTTTAAAGTGTATTGCTTGTACCCAGTGGAAACCCATCAATGACCACTTTTATCAACTTGTGCTTGTAGTATGCACAAATAACGTCATATGATTGACGTTCTTCATTCGCTTATCGCGAAGAAACACGTATAGAAAAATGCGAGGGATTATAGCTCTCGAGTATCGAATGTTATTTACAATCGTCATCAAATGCCGAAACACACGCTTCAACAAACCTTGACCTAGAAGGCGGATTATTCGCAAAGCATTAGAAGACAGCTGTTTTTAGTATCGCGCGACACTTTCTTCGGGTGCACGAAATTCTTAGTTCGCGTATCATTATTGTTTTAACTGCCTTTATGGAACGGAAACACTGAGAAATGTTTAACGTTCAATTATACAATAGAAAAGAAGTATGCATTAATCATTGTTTAGCGATTGCGTTAAATTTGCGATTTTTATTCCGTCGAAACCAATTGCAATTACGTTGCAACGGTTATCATCGATTGCACAATAGAGTAACAGTAATTACAGAGTATGATAAAATTTCTCGGATAACTGGTAAACGCTATAGCCGTGAAATGACGCACAGTGTCCCATGGTAGACGAACTCACCAAAACAGTATGTTGAATACGATGACGACGGAGATACTGTTCACGGAGTTCTCCCAAAGAAGGATACTCTCCAAAATGCTACAGAGTCGCCTCGAGGCTTCGATATTGCATCCAACATTCCGATATTGTTCAACCTCGACAGTTTTGCCATCGTCCTCTACGGTCACCTCGTTTTCATCACGAGGTGACGCGTTTTTCATCCATCGAAAATAACATGCCACTCTCGAAAGCCGTTCCATGACAGTTCCAGGTCGGTGTTGACTGCTTTTGTCGTCCTAATTCCCGTTCTCCTTTGGCATGGTACACCCTCGGAAGACTGTACGGGAGTATTTTTAGCGCGTGACAACGAGTAAGACTTTTGAGAACGAACGAGCAACCGCGGGGGTTTCTTCTGCTTTACTTCGAAGAACGGAGTGAGAAGGGGATAGAGAGAGAGAAAGATATATAGGTTGGTAGAAGAGAGAAGAAAGAACAGAAAGTGAGAGGGACAGAAACGAATACAAATGAAAGGATAGACTAAAGACTGTGACGAAGACTGGACAGAGAACGAGCGATTAGAACGGTAAGAAATAGAGGAGGAACGAATTACAGAGAAAGAGGGAGGGAATAACAAAGTCACCAGGGAAAAGATAGAGATAGATTGTACACCCTCGCTCTATTTCATGTTCGCCCTTCTCAATTTTATGGATACCTTCTTTCGAGTCGCAGGCTTCTTTTGTCTTTTCCTCTCTTTTTTTTCGGCAACACCAGTCGGTATGGAGTTAACGTCGTGTCTCTTACCGTGCTACTGACGTATGTACGCGCTCGAGCACTATTCCACATACCCTACCTTCGCCTACTGACACACGTGACGACCGCGACACGAGACGCCGCTGAACAGCGCACAACGTGTAATGGAACTGCGTAAATCCGTAAATTTTAGTCACGTCGTTAATGGCTGACATGATACTGCATCTTGTAAATATTTTAAACGATTCAATTTTCAACATACAACATAGTAGTTATAATACATATCTAAAAAATCTATAATGGTATATTATATATTTTTCATATTAAATGTACAATTCTTAATATAAAGCCTTACAACTAGTCTTCCAACGTTCATTTATTGCATTACAATTTCGTTCCGAGTTTGATTCTTTACTTTGTAATTTGTAAACCATCATTCGTCACTTTTTAATCATCTGATTGTTTTACTCGTGAGTAAAATGATTATTATATTGTAGAAAAGGTGTTAACGGTTGATTTTTTAATCATTCCTTTACTAATTGCGAGATGATTCAGTATCTCTTATAAAACATTATAATTATATTAATTATTGCTGTTGAGTGAGGTAGACACATTTATTATGTACATGTATATAAGTGCTGCCATCTTTAAAAAGGTTTGTGGTGTTGAGCGAATGAATCTTGTAAGGTTAGTGTCTATGAGGTATGTAACACCTGGGAGAGCGTGTGTGTGATGTGATGTATGTAAGAAGCTTTTAGAATTATAATAAATGTTTTAATAACTTTTCTGAATATCCTATCCTGAAAAGTAGTTATTGATCAATTGTAATTAACACCCCACAAGCTGCCTTTTTAAATACTCTTTCGTATGACAAACTAATTTTTATTTCATCTGTTAATTACAGTCGTGTGATCCTAGGAACAGCATTAGAATACTTTTGACCACTGTGTTACGTAATAATTTATCTACATAAATCAAATTGTAACTGTAATTGTAAAATTTTTAGATGATTTTGACTTAGGCGTTCAATTTATAGGATATCTAAAATTACTTTTGTTTGTCCGTTCTGGACTACTTGAAAATCTGCTAAATCGATTTATATTTTAAACTACCTCTATTTTTTACCACATATATCAGGGAATAGGATACGCTATTTATCATCGCGTTTCTTCTCAATGAAGATAAGTAATAAACAATTATAAATAAGAGATAGTCGTGCCTGTCTGTTTGCTACTGCGTCACGGGAAAATGGCTAGAGAGATCGTGACGAAATTTAGAATGTATTCCTAAAGTAATATCAATTTTAAAGACCTTTTACACAATATTTTCTGGTCTCTAGTTCTAGTTGAAGGATATTTTAAAGCTTATTGTGGTTTTTTAATACTTATAGCCACTGCCCAGCAGCTTTCATTCTGCTCTTACTGGGAATAAATTAAATATTATTCATATATTGTATCGTTGAAAAATTATGGAAAAAATAAAAAAGGATTTAAACGAATGCAAAAGATCCTACCCTTAGCATTTAAATACAGTATACATATACTTATGTATCTTATTCTGAGGTAGTGTGGTTTTTGATTCTGTTTACGAAATTAAATATAGAATTCAATGAATTTATACACAAAAATGTTCAACTAAATAGAGACCAATGACACGAACTTGTTTTTTCCATGGTGCCTTTCGAATGGTGTTACACCATTGCCGTAACTACTTGGATAATAACCCCCACTTCTCTACTGCCGTTCTTCGATCATTTCATTCTACTTTAAATCGCGCGAGGTCATGCTGTTTCAGGTTTTCACTTTTACCATATCAGTGACGTTATAAATAATCGGATTCCCTGTTCTTGGAAGCTACAATTTTGAAAAAGAATTACGTAGATTTATGTTCTCGAATGATTGTCTTTTTTCTCAATTTAACGAATTCTCGAGTGGATTTATACGATTGAAAAAATTTATTTATTAAAATCTGTTCACTTTGCCCGATAAATTATGTAATGTATTATTGAGAAATATTCAAACATTGTTGGCATAATATAATTTCTCTGTATTTACGTTTGTATCATTTTCCTTGGATCATGAAATATGACACCTACCATATTATGCACTTTATGCACCTATCTTTTTACAAGAGATAAGCTTGCACCAGATGCTGTCCGCATAGAAATTTTGTTTGTCATGAAAAACCACGCAATTTATTAAAAAACTGTTATTGTAATATATTATTACACTACATTCTAACTGTGCAGCCAATTTTATATGTAAATGGCCTTTACAGTATACAGAATGTATACTAAATTTTTTTATATAAGTTATTTTCTTAAGTGGAGATACATATTTTTTTACATAAATTAAATTCTTTCATTTTACGTAAAAAAAAGTAGAGGAATGGTAAAACCATAATTAGTATGTGGACATTATACATTAAAAATCTAATTTTTTATGATTTCAATGACCAAATAAAATAAAATATTTAAAATTTATAAACAAAATTAGCAAAATCAATAACGTAACATCTTATATTATTTTGTTATTTGTTGTAATTGGTTTAGTTTATAAACTATGATTGTAAAGAAGTAGTTTATTTGTGAGAACAAGGCTACAAAAATCAATGTATAAATGCGCGCACAAAAGTATATTGTCAATATATGATGACAAAATGTTGTATTTATTTTATCTTACGTTAAGAGTGTAAGATAAACTGATATTCTTTTCTCATTATCAATATTGAAATATAAACTTTGTTTATATAAGTTATTCAGTAAATAATTTCACGCAAGCATAACATTTGTTTCTATCCGGGATTCATTATTAAAAAATTGTTTTACAGCTTAATATATTTGATTCTTTCATGCTGAGAATTTATTTTTAAATATTTAAATAAGAGTAAAATGTAAAAGTTCTAAATCACATCTTATTAGTATAATTAAAACTGATTAATACAATACATTACGAAAGTATTATGTTAATTTTCAAATACGTTTCGAATGTTGATTCAAGTGGCTTTAAAGAGCTGCAATAGTTTTTTTATTAATCGTATGTCTATTATGTATAAGACAGCGAATAGGCAACAAAATTTTGTAACCTTTTGTTTACATAATATTTCATATAACTAAAAAAAAAAAATCGATGTATCTATATTTTTTAACAATTGCAAAATGATTTATACTTATTACTACGCGTTTTGTTATTTTATACATTTATACAATTTTCTACATACATTTCCAAACTATCCTTTATGAAATCTAAAACATGTGTGAGAACAAGGAAGACATAGAACGAAAACAATTGATCATCGTTTCTTAAAGTACATCTGTAAATAACGTTTTAGATCTTGCAATATCACATATTTAATGTGCCTTATTTGTATTTCCTATTTGAAATATATTAACGCATGATACATCTCAATAAATATGTTATTTAAAAAAGAAAATTCATCTTACTCTAGGTATTAATTCAAAGAGAGAGAGACAAAACCTATTGAGAGATTAATATTCTTTATAAATTTCTGACTAAAAAAGACAATTGAAAAATGGTACAAACAGTTTTGTCGCAAGATAAAAGGCACTTGTATATAAAATGCATGGTAAGATAAATTGTAAATCTTAGAATCGTTACATTACCATATTGCCATGCAGATATTCATTCTTACATTGCAGTTTTTTATTGTATAGAGATTATTATCCCTTGTATATAAATTACATCTACACACACATACGTACACATTCATACATAGCAGTCTAAGTTATATGGCAGTATTATAATATCGTACTTAATGAATAGGTCGATCGAATTTCATACTACATTAGTTCCCATTAAATACTTACGAGTTACAATGTTAAAAACTACTTACTTCTAAAGCTTCTTTTGATGCACAATTGTTGTGCCATTTAGATCTTTTGTGTCTTGCCTTTGTGTACAGTGTATTACTTTGATAGCAATGGGTGATAAAGAGCACGAGTGATAAAGAGCTAAAAAATTGTATTTTTTTTTTAATTTACTGATAGTTAAATATAGGTTAGAAACAAAGGAAGTGTAGTTAAATGAACGTGTGCCACATGATTGGGAAGACGAAATTTTTTTTTTTTTAACGATTATGCTTGTGAATCATGAACAATATAACGAAACAAAGAAATTAGAGTTTCACGAAAAGAATGAAAGTAATTATTTCGCTTGGAAGTTTCAAACAACGATCTTGCTGAGAAATGCCGAGGTATGTACGGCAAGATCGATAGATCGATAGGTCGAAAGTAAAAGCAAAAGTCTGGTACGGAAAAAGATCTAAAGGCACAACAATAATAAAATATGTTGTTTATCGTTTAAATATTAACCAGTTTAAAATTTATATAAAAAACACAATTTACTGCAATGTAATAGTTTTGCATCCTCTATCAGATAGAGATCATTCTTAGTTCTCATTTTCCAGCATACGTTGGATTCTTAAATGTTGACGTGGCTTGTTTATAAATTGGATTTTCTCCCTGTTTAAAGATATTTATAATAAATGATTTTGTAATAAAAATATATCTAATCGAAAGGAATGATTAAAATACTTACCGTATCCCATTTAGCCATCATTCTGTCTCTCTCAAACCTTGCAAATTCTCTTCTATCATGTATAGTCGTCAACAACTTCCATAAAAGTAATAATGCAAGACCAATTAAAACAATTGCTGCTATCACGCCTAGCACTATACCCAGCATGTAGACTTGTGGCGGACATTCTCTGTCTTTTTGTACTCGTACTTGCAGACAATTTGTTTCATTGTAATAATAAACAAAATTATATTTACAGTCATCTTCGTCTATACCAGAACATGGCTCCTCGTCCTTATCAACGTCCGGTATAACCGTTTCAACTGGTTCAGGGACAAATTCTTTACAATTTTTTGCACATTCCTCTTTGTCGCTAAAGTTTCCAGTACCATACATTTGGCACAATACACAATTTTTTAGCTCTTCACAGCGACTTGGGCATGTGGGGCATTTATTACAATGTTTACCCGAGTATCGCATATTTCCTTCTTCATGACAGATACATTCACCACAAATACAATCGCCCTAAATAGGAATAGCAATAGTACTTAAAATTAATTTATAATGAACCTTTTGTATATTATAACGTTAAACTTACATGTCCTGAACATAATACTCCGTTTGTGGTTCCCGGTGCAATACAAGTTTCGTTAGAGGATCTACAATTACAAGATGGTCCAGTCCATCCAGCATTGCAGACACACTGTCCACATTCACAAGTTCCATGATTAGAACATAAGAAACCTTGATCTCGATCGCATGAAAAATTATCGCACTCGCAAAAGTGACCTGATATTATCTATAGAAAATAAAAATAATAAAATAACATTAAATATTTTGCGTCAGAGTAAAAGAGTTAGATCTGTATATTAAAACGATTTATATATTTACTTCTTCGGGATTTTCTCTTTCTTCGCACTCGCACTGACCACATGCACAAGTTCCTCTCCCTGAACAATCTACAAGAGAAGTATTATCAGGCCTGCAAGATTGAATATGTTTATCAAATCCTGTCATCTCATGATGAGGGCTGCATTCACAGCGTTTCCCGAAGAATCCATCGTAACATTCACAAACACCACATTTTAAAGTTCCAACACCATTGCATTCTGGTGATTTTGGTTCGTACATAAGACCTTCGCGTTCACACTCACAGTCACATAACATTTCCAGATTTACAGTAAGAGTTTCATTAATTCCAACCTAAACAATATTAATATATTCAAATACAATACTGTTTCTTGTTTTTAAACATATGTGAAATTAAATGTACATATATGAATATTTCTATCCTTACAGGATAAATCTCAAATTTCTGTTTCCATTCTGATCTATTTTCCGGGCAACTCGTGACTTCAATTTCTGCAATAAATTCGACCTTTGTTCCAACTTTTAGCCCATCGCATTTTGAAGCTTCGATAAGTGGTCCCGCGCCCAAACATTTTGAAAAATATTTTACTTTTACAGCACTGCTGGCTGTATCTTTCATTTCGACGGAACTTGAAATAGCATCGTATTGTTCTCGAATTAATTCTACAACGTTGCTCGAGTCATCCGACAGTTTGCCGGCAAAAGATCCTTCTACGTGTTTAGTCAGTCTTTTATATATATTTATTTGTTCTTCAGTGACAGCCCATATAATATTAATAGCGTTCTGTTTAACCTTTAAATTAATTTGAGAAATACTTGGATAGTCTTGCAAAGATGAATGCGTATAGAGACCAGTGCCATCCAAATGACATATACCATCATTTGGTTTTACAATGCCACCTAGTTTTCCATCACCTGCATAGTGAAAACCAGCATCTGTAGAAAATACCAACAGTCTACGTGCCTTTTCACGCCAACCAATTTGTCCTCTACAAACTATAGCCTGCATTATTGCATCAAATCCGCCTTCCGGTGCATCCAAGTTTCCAGACACTGAAGCATTGCGCACTAAACTCTGTATGATTAAAATATGTAAATAATAGTTTTTATGTAGAAAATATTTAAAAATAAAATTATTAGGTACTTACTGCAAAATGACTAGTGTCTTGGGACAATGTCATAATATTTTTGTATCCATACGGTGCCGCACATCCATCGCATGGTTCTATTAGTCTGAAATACAAAAATGTCTGTAAATTTAATATTAAACAATACGTTAAACTACAATTATAGAATATATATGTATGGAAATACAAATTCTTCTTAGGAAACTTACGACTTTGGCATTGTATTAACATAAGGCATTACAACTTTATCAACAAAACTGCCAAAGCCTAATCGAAAGTTACTTGTGATTTTACTCATACTTTCTACTAAAAGTTGACCTAAATCTGACAATTTCTTTTTATCATCTTCCATTGATTTACTCAGATCCATAAGGTAATACAGATCAACAGGATAATCTTCTGCTTGTGAATAAGCAAAGGTCATTCTATGCGCTTCGCCTGAAAATATTTATATCGCATTAAATTATAAATATTGTACTTCACTGAAATTTATTAGGATTCTATAAAAACGTTAATAACTCACTTATTCTAAGTTTTAAATTAACTTCTTGTGGCCAAATTTGCACAGCTTCTTGTCTTCTGCCGCTACTGCTGCTGCTGCTGCTACTACTACTTTCTCTGTTCGATTGTGAACTAGAGCTAAATGAGCTAGAATTCATGTACGAATACTCATAACTATTGATACCACCAATGGTATAGCCACCTTTTGTTAGATTGTTATGTCTTATCATACTAAAAACATTGTCTGGATTCCATGTGTATTCTGCTGGACATGTAGCAAATATTTTGGTATTTATATTTGGTAGAAAGCATCGTTTTTCTGAAAATTTCTATAAAAAAATATAAATGTACTTATTCAACAAGTTTGGTACTGACAATGAATCATGTCTCTGAATCAAAGTTTAATATACTGATTGGGGCGTTTAAATGGGAATGCCTAAATAATATCCTGATTGTCTATGGTTAAATTTGTCATTTTAATTCATAAGAATATAAGAGAAAAATATTAAGTTATTATTCTAATTATTACTCTTTTAATATGGTAAACATACATACATATGTAATTGCAATATATAAAATTAAGAAATATTTTTAAAGAAATTTGTAATTTATATTATATCTATCAAAATAACACTTACCGGTGCAGCACACCATGCACAATGTGGTGTTTGTATGCATTCGTGACATGTTTGCTTGCTAATGCAAGGATTCATTCCTGTCAGTCTCTCTGGAGGTGGATAATTTGCCTTTGCTAGCGATATAACAATCGCTATTGCTATAATCCATCTCAAGCTGCCGAACATTCTATACATATAAAAGTAAAATTAAGCATTAAAAACAATATTCCAAAAAATATTGAAATAATAATGAATCGTCAGCTACCAATAGAAATTTTAGTAGTAATGAAACAAAGTTTATTTTAAATTAATATAATTTTACAGATTATAAAAATACAAAATATTCTTTTATAAATAAATTGTATGATATTCCTTTATTAAGTACCAAATGAATTAGAATTTGTACGAATGTTTAAAAAATAAGGAAATAAGTATGAAGTCATGTTCTTAAAAAGTTGACTCATCAAATTCTTAAATTATGTGTTCAGTAACTATTTTTATTTTCCAGGCGAATGCAAGTGTTAAGTAATGATTATTAATGTTTCTGTTATAAATAAAAGCTATTTAATAAAATTAATATTTAAAATTAGGGCAACCTAGTAGCTTCACTTATAAATACAATGCATACATTGCAAGAGGAACTATTCTTAAACGACTAGGTCAACCTGTCATCTCATTTTGATATTTTAAACAAAATTACACATGTTATAATTAAATTAGTTAATTTTTACAATAAAAAGAAGACTTTCATTCAAAATTTTAATTTGTGTATACAGATAATGAATCTACTGATTTTTATGTTAACCCATATATAGTTGTATATAGGAAAAAGAAAAATTAGAGAAAACGAAAAATATATTAAAATAAAAGAGTAATTAATTGTTTCCTAAACGAAGGAACAGAATGCAATAGAGGTGTAGTTATACAAAATCTCCCACACTTTAATTTTCGACTTAAGAAACATTTCTTGTATCACTCGAATAAACTTTAACTCATGAAATTAAAAAAAATTTTGAACATACATTACAGGTGTGCCCGATACCTGTAAAATTTGATTATCCATAGCATAAGACAGGTCGCTTATTCATTCACAAAGATGCCGTCATCTTTATATTTACAAAGTGCTATCACTTTGCAAACCCGAATGTGAACGTTAAAACGATGTAGAACGAACAAAACAAGGACTGGTCAAGAAACACATGAAGGGCTTACGTATTTTCAGAAGGTCCCCTTTTTGATTTGCTATTAGAACATTACAAGTCTGACGAATGTTTTCTTGTTACTTGAATCACCATAAAAGGTAACCCATCAAACGCATGCACTCCACAAACAACTGTGTCTACAAGATCGCGATGGGCTCACACGACTGATTTCTATTAGACGTATAACAGAGACTAAGAACATATAGACGAGCAACTCTCTACAGATAAATGAAGCAAAATTGCGCCATTAGCACTGCATGTACTTGATGCACGAACTACTTTACAAAATGTCCGAATGGTGGGAAATCTTAAAATTAATTTAAAATTTTATATGATTATTCTACGTGCTTAATGTTTCGTTAATATGTAGAGTTATATTGGATCAAAGTTTTGGAAAATTTACAACCAAAGTTGAAAAAATTAAATTTTTATGAAGATAATACAACATTAAAACAAATGCATAAAGTATGTTATATTTCCATTGGACTATAAAGTACAAAAATGATTACTATTTTCATGTAAATCGTGTTTTATATACCAACAACGATTAAAAAGAGTTGTTAATTGTTGGTAATTAATAAGAAAACACCGCTAAAAATAAAAGATACAAATTAAATTTTTACAAAACTACATGTTAGCTAATAAAATAGACGAAAATATTAATAAAAAAAAATTATTATTTCTAAAATACATCGTTACTATTTCTTAATAGTACTTGAGCGTCTTGGAATTAGTTATTATCGAGAATACTATTATTAGTTTACAGTACAGAATCATTTCCAATGAACTACCACACAACTAGGGCAGTAGATATTGGATGGTGAAACCGGAAGTGAAATTCTCGACATTAAAAATATTTAAAATAATAAATGCCTGAAATACATTTAAAAATATATTAATGTTAAAGCAATATATATATGCATTTAATCAGAGTAAATAATATTATAAATAGAATAAACAATATACATGATTTTGTGTAACGTCGTCTGTGCATCTACAGTTTAATGAAAATCAATACTTGCAAAATCTGCGTAGAGAACTGAAATGCGTTTCTGCGCATTCCCACCACTATAACTACTGGTGTGTCTCATATCCGGCTTCGTGGTGAGTCGTTCTTTCTGTCCCTGGAAGCGGTGCAGGTAAGACGTTTGTTCGTTCTTTGTTTTACTTTATTTTTCGTTAAATAATCTAGTATAGATATACGTTGTATTGTAATTAATTAGTAATTTCTTTATCGTTTTTTTGATTACTCAAGCGTATTAAATGATTGTGAATGTAATTTTAGAAATCTTTGCCGCTTGTCGAGTCAGTCAAGTATAACAAACTACGTTAACATCAATTTAATCCGGGACTTAAAGGTCATCACTAGCATCAAACATGTAAGTAATATTAAAATGCATAAGTACGATGGAAAATATATTTTCATTTAAAGTTCCGCGGCATTCGCTACTATATTATGATAGTGTTCGCAATTCTTACAACGGTCACTCGTGGTCCGCCATTACGCTAATATCTGCATTGCGTCGTTGCTAAATTTCTTCTGTTATGTCCTTGCAGAAATGTATAAATCTAACATTATGCAATATTTTTTGATAAGTATTTCTTTCAACAAGTATATAATTTATTTTGAATTACAGTTTTACATAGATTTATGTACCTTTGGAAATGCTTAATGTATTTGTCTATTACAATTTTTTAGAATAAGCAACTTTGAATTTATAAAACCTTATTCAAGGTCTTAATTAAAAAATACGTAAATTAAAAAACACATCAATGTATTGTGAATGTTTTAATTAGTAATGGGTTTAATTATTGGGTTTGGCTAAAGTGTAATAACCTGAATAGAAATGGTTTATCACAAAAGTTACATAGATTGATTGTAATGCTTGTAAATTAAAGGTTACGACAAGTAGTTGGTGCCTTTGGAACTGTTCTATTTAGGTTTGTATCCAAATAAGTATATATAGAATACATTTAACATTTAGAAAAAATAATTGTACCTCTCATTTTGGCATGCCTCCATTTTATATACATTAATGGAGCATGAATGCTTATGGGAGGAAAAACAAAGTCTGAATTGCCTTTGGAATCCACACATTTTGTCTGGAACCGATTCTCTATGTTCAGTACATTTATGCATAAAAACTAACACATTTTATATACCATAACAATGATCATCTCTACAACTACTTGTATTTTCTCTTCCATAGGACTTATGGAGCTATGTCTAACGGTTACCACAATGGAAGTTACAGGGGTGGTAAAGGACAACCAAGAAGTAGGTACGCGAGTACCACCAGCACACCCAACAGAGGTTTTGGAAACCGTAATAACAAAAATTCTACAAGCAGTGCTGGTACTAATTTGAGAAAACCAAACTGGAGTTTTGAAAGTTTAAAGCCTTTTAAAAAGGATTTCTATATACCACATCCCAATGTTCAAGGACGTCATCCTCGAGATGTTGATGTATTTAGACAAGATAACCAAATTACTTTAAAAGGAGAAAAAGTTCCTAATCCTATTCAACATTTTGAGGAAGGAAATTTCCCTGATTATGTAATGCAGGGTATTAGAAAGCAAGGATTCAATGAACCAACTGCTATTCAAGCTCAGGGATGGCCAATTGCAATGTCTGGTCAAAACATGGTTGGAATTGCACAAACCGGATCTGGAAAAACATTGGGATACATTTTACCTGCAATAGTACATATTAACAGCCAACAACCATTAAATCGCGGTGATGGACCAATCGCTCTCATTCTAGCGCCTACTAGAGAATTGGCACAGCAAATTCAGACTGTTGCTAATGATTTTGGTTCTTTGTCTTATGTGAGAAATACTTGTATTTTTGGTGGTGCACCAAAGGGAAGTCAAGCTCGCGACTTGGAACGAGGCGTTGAAATCTGCATTGCTACACCAGGGCGGTTAATTGACTTTCTGGAACGCGGTACGACAAATTTACGCAGATGCACTTATTTAGTATTGGATGAAGCTGATAGGATGCTGGACATGGGTTTCGAACCACAAATTCGAAAAATTATTGAACAAATCAGGCCGGACAGACAAGTTCTTATGTGGTCCGCTACTTGGCCGAAGGAGGTTAGAAATCTTGCAGAGGAATATCTTACAAATTATACACAATTGAATATTGGATCGTTAACGCTAGCTGCTAATCACAATATTCTTCAAATTGTTGATGTCTGTCAAGAACATGAAAAGGAAACAAAGTACGTATTACGTTTTGAATATACGTTCCGTATTTTGAACATTTAAGCTCGTTTTGTTACTAGCGTCGCGCAAGAATCATTATACCGAACATTTCAAATTGTTATTAAAATAGCGCATTTTAAAAATAGTAATTGAATGATTAATGATTATCTATTTTAATCGTAAACCCATCGATTATTACTTTAATTAAAATTTATTCCACCGTTCTGTACTTCGACAGAATACAAATTTTTTCATTTTAATTTTTATGATGATAGTACTACTTGCATGATATTATATGATTTCATATAAAAATTTTCCTCTAAGAAGAACTGACTTTTATTTAGCCCGCAAATATTTTTGTGAGTTGTTTTTAACGCTATCCAATCACGGTCGATTTTGTGTTGATTTTAGATTGGGGACTCTTCTTCAGGAAATTGGTAATGTTAATGAAGATGGTGGGAAGACTATAATTTTTGTAGAGACAAAAAAAAAGGTGGAAAATATCACTAGAAATATTCGTCGTTATGGGTGGCCTGCTGTATGCATGCATGGTGACAAATCTCAACAAGAAAGAGACCATGTTCTTAGAGGTTTGTTCTTTTTTTTTTTTTTTTTCGTAATTAATATATAAGTAGTAAACAATCGTATTAATCTTAATCCATGAAATGTATAATTAAATTTCAGAATTTAGGAACAACAGAGGTTCGATTCTTGTAGCAACCGATGTTGCTGCTCGTGGATTGGGTATGTAATACAAAAATTTTTTTTTCGTTTTTTGTTTTTAAAGTTAGATTTTCAAAAATGCATTTACCCCTCGATAGAAAATTGCATTTACGAAAATCTACACTTATTTAGAAAGGGTTAGGGTAAAGTGGCGATGTAGCACAGACTGGTTATATGAAAGTGATGCCTCACAATTTTTAGTATAAATGTAATTGATATTATTAAGGAACTTACTATCGTAATTAAGGAACAGTTTGAAAAACTTTATAGGAAATAAAGTATCATAATTTATTGACAGAGTGTTATAAATACTCTGTAGAATTTGGTAATGAATAATTAGGATATAGTAAAGTGATACAAAAAGATTATTGAAGTAAAAATGTATCTAATACACATTCTCAAACTTTACATAAGCTTAGAATATTAAATAGACGGCATTAGTTAGCTGGTATGTTTATATTTTTTAATTATTTATTTGTATCACTTATTAAACATATAGCTTTTTCGTTATAATAATTACACATTTAAAAAAAAAAAAAAATATTTAATAGCATATTCATATTCAGTTTTTATAGTTGCATAGGTATACTGAATATTCATTCATAATTGCAGCACTTCGTGATAGGGAGATAAACAGGATGATTCGCATAAAAGGTGAAAGTTGTATATAATAGGCTGTACATTTTATTTACTTTAATTAAAAGGGCATCGAGTTTCAGTGTCTAAAATCGTTTATACTATAAGTTGTCTTGAACTGTTTTACCAGCATTATTAAACATTCACTAATGCAATCTATTTTAATTAATAGAAAACAAAAAAATGTTTTAGATTATGTGCTTGTGTTAAAGAATTGAGAGCAAATATTGGAATACAGGAAATGCGTTAGTAATACGTGTGGGCATCTTATAATTTATGTTAATCAGTCTGGTTGTCCTTTGTTTCAGAGGCACATGGTGCACAAATTGTGTTGAGTGTGCGATGAAAAACGATCGTTCGATAAAGAAAACATGGCTCACTCACTGTACATGTGCAATTCTGTTTTGCACATAATATTGTACTTAATGTGCCTCTGTGTTCAGCCTGTGTACCACACAAGTAGTAGAGTGGTGCGCGGGTGGTGCCGTTATCGCACTGGTTGGGTGTGAGATAAGACCGTGGTTTCCATTTTGGTACAACCATCACACTTCATAGCCAATGCTCAGCCGGTGTCAGAGACAACAATCTATTGATTTTGCTACTATCGCTACTCGCTGGTGATGCTTAGGACACAACATTGCGATGTGAACTTGCATTCAAGAATAGCACACCCCCTAGGGCGCTCTGTATGCAGTCACATGGAATGCAATGTTCAGCGGTTACAGGGTTTGTATTTATTATTATGCAGCTAACTTACATTCATATGCATTTAACTTAATCTTAAAGTTGATGCAATCTTTTAAAATATTCTTCGTATGTACCTAACATTTAGGAATGAAATTAAGGCAGTATCGAATTTTCAATAGTTTTAACGGGCATAATAGTTAACCTTCATCATATAAATGTTAAATATTTAGAAATATAATTTTGTAGTAAAGTATTTATTTGATCAATTTTTTGTTTCGCTAAATTAAGATTAAAAAAAAAAAACAATAATTTTAGTATATCTATTACATAGTACTATGAAATTTATGTGTTAAAAGAGACTTTTATTGTAATATTTAATATCAATTTACTTACTGATACGTTTGATATATTCAATTCTTGATGATATATGAACGTGAATCTGCTAGATATTTACGTCGAAGAAGTAAACTTATTTCATTTGAGGTCGTTACGAAATAATATAAAATTAAAATATTGAAATAAGAGAGAATTTTTACAGTTCTGTCACTTCTCACTACTTTCGAGGATAATTGCAGTAATCGTTAAGCGAATTGTCCTGTCAAGATTAATCTTGCCTGTACCGCTTTTTCTTTTTCGCACGTTTCGCTTTTGAAACGGATTAGAAATACAGGCAGAGAAACCTCAACAGGTCACTTTTATTAATTATTACTATAACACGTCGACTGCAGCTGAACGAGTCAACCCACGAGCAGATAATCTGTCACTGGACGCCACCTACGAGTAAATAATGCATAATGGGCATGAGAAAGAGGGATCAGTATGCATTAGAGATCTGATTATTAATTCATAAAAAAAAATTCAAATAAGTAGAAAATTATCTCGTAGCTAGCTCCTATACGAGTTGCGTTGGGAATCATATTGCTCAAAACACTGCGGCAGTCAACATGATTATCTGTGATTATAGAACTTTACATTTGCTATTCAAATATTTATTACATTTAACGTGTTAGTATGGGTTAGTGTATGATTATAGGCTTAGCTGCATATGTATTTCGGACTGAAGAACTAAAACATAATAAAATTAATTGATTTGATTAGTTTGAAAATAAAGTACTACTGTTCTGACAAAGTTAGTGTAAAGATTAACTTTAATTAAAAAGAAACGTATGTAGGTTTCATTTAAAAAAAAATCACATAGCAAGTCAGAAATTGTTTATTGGGCACAATATATACATAGTATTAAAAGTTAGCAGATTTGTTAAGTGTAACAAACGTGCATAACTATATTTAGATTTGTATAAGCCCAGTATCATATAATAGTACCAATTTTAAAGTAAAATCATTTCTCTAGATGTCGATGATGTAAAATACGTGATCAACTTCGATTATCCATCATCATCTGAAGACTACATCCACAGAATAGGCAGAACTGGCCGTTCAAATAGTACGGGAACAAGTTACGCGTTCTTTACACCACAAAACAGTCGACAAGCTAAAGATTTAATTAATGTACTTAAAGAAGCCAACCAAGTTGTCAATCCAAAGCTTTCAGAGCTTGCAGACAGGAGTGGAAACTATGGTGGCCGAAGTAAGTGTTTTCGCGTACAATAATAAAATCAAAGTAAATGCAAAAGTTCTACGACATTTTGTTTTTAAACTATTCGCAATTGAGTGGTATCTCTCCTTAACTAATATCATTTTTTAACTTATATTTTCAGATCGTTGGGGATATGGCGGTGGTAACCGAGGAAGAGAAAATATGTTCTGTGGAACGCATAAACGATTCGATACGGGAAGGAACTCTAGTTATAATTCTAGTTGATTTGTTTCGACTTTGACCACATATCTGAATAAGTAAAACCTCTTGGAGACCTAAAACTTAGTTACAATTTTTTTATCTGTGATTAGGAAAAGTTCTCCATGGAAAATATGCTGCTATACTTTAGTTCTGTGCTCGGCTAACTTTTTATGTTATTTTTATTTATGACCGTATTGTTTTTGTTAGTTCTAGTACAAAACTTAAAGAAATGCAGAACACATTTGGACAAATTTAAGTTATACGATAATTATATATTTCTATTTTTTTTCACTCATCGAGACGCGCATAAACTATGGCTATGAGCTGATCAATTGCAGATTAATAATGCTAAGTACAAAAGCTACTTAATGCAAACAAAACTCATGACAATCTTCTAAAGTCAAATTTCAATTCTATGTATTCTTTATAAACCCGTTTTACTAATAAATTTTAATTGTATACGTTTTAAGTTTTGGAAACAATGATAAACATCGATAACATCTTTCATTTGTTGCGCGTCTCAGAAGTAGGAGCTCAGTAAGTTGTGAAGTAATAGTAACTGTATCAGTATTCATTCCAATTCTTTTAATACGATCAATATTAGTTATTGGTCATACGATGAAGTTGTTTTTGTTTGTCTATCTCTGATATAAAGTGAAATGAAGGAACGCACTGAATATTATGACTGTGAAGCTACACTTTTCTTACATGTATGTCTTACTAATAACTATGTATAACGATAAATGAAATAATCCTAAACCTGTTAAAAAGAAACATTCTTGGATAAATCGATCTCTTCTAGTAAGGTTTACCCATGTTTAAAACTGTAGTTTGACTTAAATTTTCCACCCGACGTGTCAAATTCGAATTCGTCATACACGACACTTTAATCAACGTTCTAATTCGTGAATGGTTTTGTTAATTATATACCTTTTAAACGTTTGAAGCACCTAAGGAACTATCGCACGTCAATGTATTACAATTTTCAGTTCTCAGTAATAAACTTCGAAACAAATGAAAATGAAAAAAATATTCCTGATGTTGTTCACAATATGACTTGTCCCGCCAACAAACCCAAATAGTTCTGTACGTTAATTTTTCTGATTCCTCTATCAAATGATGCTGGAAAGATTTTACAATCGCGTTTGAATTCACATAGATTAAGGAGCCTCATTTTTTAAAATAAAGAAATTACAAATATTTTTTCAATAAATTTGTGGAGAAAAGCAAGATGAAGCAATATTTAAAGATTGTTCTCGTAAAAATATCTGAATCCCGCTGTTCTTTACTTATCAAAAGTACGTCGTAGCCTTAATTCGGCCTTGAATAAAATGATCTTTTAATTATAATTATGTTTTAGCTTGTGCGGTCGAGTTTTATTTAAAAAAGAGTATATTGTATTGTAGATTTTATAAATATTTACATTGAGTTACAGAAAGTTATTTTCGTTTAGATTTGTATATTATCGATCAAACGAGTGAATGAAAGATGGATGAACCGGTAAGAAAATGTGTACTTGATTACATCCGCGAAATCAGAAGATTCAAATTTTGTAGGCTTATATTTTGTGCAAAAGTTACAAACTGTGATGATATTGAACAACTGTTTGATACCGCAATTAAAAAGAAATTTTTGGAACGTATTACAGGATTACTTCTCATTTATCCTGGTATCGTGATTCATTTGGTCGAAGCCGTAGAAGACGATGTTTTCCGATTGTGTAACGAAGTATCTACTAATAATCCGGATGTTATAATTAACGCTAAATGTTTGTACATGCAAAGTGGTGCAAAGCGATTTTTTCAAAAATGGCATTCCGCAAGAATAAATAATTGCAGTTCGAATGACAAAGAATTCGAGACAATCGATGATAGTTTTGAAAATGTTTCTAGTATACATACAGCAATGATTTTAAATTTACACAAATTGTATACCGAATTGTGGAATATACGCAGATTAAAAAGTTATGTAAGTATGAATTAAATTGCGTTAATTTCTAGCATATTTTAAATACATAAAAAATAGCAATAAAATTTTTATAATTTTCGATAAATTTTTTAATGTAATAATAAACTTTTGCGCAGGAAAATTTTATCGAACACTTGGATTTAATATCTAGGAAAGGACATTTGAATGTTCCACTTGAATCAAACATAGAAATTGTGCTTAAAAGTCGTTGGGGTTACAATTTAATGACATTAGCCAAGGACTACTGTGATTTAAAGTATCAGTATAATTTCGACGACTATTCTCCAGTTTCTGAAATTATACACGATATTAATTACACTGTTAAATAATTGTATAAACTACTACGCAGTAACGCAAACAATGACTGATTTTACATTTGCTTCGCAAACTTTGCTATTCAAATCGATAGAAGCAAATCTGGCCACACAGAATTGAAGTTGCACTGTGTCGATAAAGAATTATAACTATGAGTACTTTGCTAAAATCAAGCGATCATAACTCAGATCACGCTGTAGCAGGGGCTATTAGTGGCTTCATATCCAGATTTCTTTGTCAGCCCTTAGATGTTGTAAAAATTAGGTTTCAGGTAAAACAATTATAAAATACAAATATATACAATATTATGTTCCATTACGTTTAGAAAATTCTTTATTATTATAGTTGCAAGTAGAACCTGTTACTAATCATCATGTTAGTAAATATAAGTCTTTATCACAAGCATTCTTTTTGATATTTAAAGAAGAAGGACTTTTTGCTCTTTGGAAGGGACATGTTCCTGCTCAATCACTTTCAATTGTGTATGGAATGAGTCAGGTATTTGGTTATTTAGTTAAACGAAACATTACTATGAAAATTTGTATTAAAAAGTGAAAAAACGATTTGTTTGCTTATACTTCTTCTAACATTATACAAATATTTTAAAATGCATATAAAAATATGTAATTGTTAACAATTCACAGTTCTCTTCATATAATGTGTTCATGAAAGGATTGGATAATTTTTCACTTTTAAATGAATATAAATATTCAACAAAATTTATAGCAGGAGCAGGAGCTGGTTCTGTAGCTACAATCGTGTCATTTCCTTTTGATACTATAAGAACCCGATTAGTGGCACAATCAAATAATCATCAAGTATATAAGGGAGTTTTTCATTGTTGTAGGTAAGTTTTTAAGAAGACGATATTTCGGACATTGTTCTATTTTATAAAATATATCTTTCTAGTTGTATTCTTCGACAAGAATCACCAATAACATTTTTTCGTGGTTTATTACCAACTTTGTTGCAAATTGTACCGCATACTGGGCTGCAATTTGCATTTTATGGATTTTTCAATGATATATATAAAAAATACTCCAATGAAATAGATACAAGTTTTACTAATTCTATAATGTCCGGTAGCGCAGCTGGTTTATTAGCCAAAACTGCAATATATCCATTTGATCTTAGTAGAAAAAGATTACAAATACAAGGATTCCAACATGGTAGAAAACATTTCGGTGCCTTCTTCTATTGTACAGGACTTATAGATTGTTTAAAGGTGACATTCAAAGTAGAAGGTGTGAAGGGTCTGTTCAAAGGTTTAGTACCAAGTCAGTTGAAAGCTACAATAACCACAGCATTGCACTTTGCTACATATGAGCAAAGTTTAAAATTATTAAAAGCAATGAGACAGTATACTTCAGAAAAATAAAATAATGAGATTGATAGATAGTGAAACAAATATATCACTTCATTATCACTATTTATATAACATTTAAGTACATATATATATATATATATATTGATACATGAAATTAATAAACGATCTGTGTTTATAAATCATATTTGTAACTAATGCTAATACATCATATAATTTATATTTATAATTGAAGTGGAGCAGGCATTTGAGTTGGTGTTCCTTTCAAAACTGCCAGAATATTTCTGGCAGTTATTCTCGACATTTCCTCCCGCGTTTCTGTAGCTGCACTACCAATGTGAGGTAGTATCACTAGTATGAGAAGTAACATGAATGTTTATCATATTTATATATGGTTTACCATGGATTTATAAATACATGACTATCACACTTACCACAATTATCTAATTTTAATAGTTCACTATCTAGTGGAATAGGCTCTGGAGTCATGACATCTAAACCAGCTGCTTTGATTGTTCCTTTTTTCAAAGCTTCTAACAGAGCAGATTGATCAACAACTTCTCCTCTACTAACATTCACAAATATAGCAGACCTCTTCATTTTCTCAAATGCACCTTGGTTAAACATTTGCCTTGTTTCTGGTGTTAAAGCTATTGTAACAATTACAAAGTCACTCTTTTGTAGTAGTTCATCGAGTTCTACTATTTCTCCTCCAAATTCAGATGCTTCTTGCTTGATACTTCTACTTGTATATAATATCTTAGCAACATTGAAGTTTTTTAGTATCTTTGCCACTTGAACACCAATTCGACCTAATCCTACTACCCCAATAGTAGATCCTGATAATCCAGGACCACACATCCAAGTAGGTGCCCATGCTTTCCATTCTCCCCTATGAGTGATATTTTATATGAAATCTATGCTCAACTAATGCAATGTTTTATTATATGTATTGTATTCCATACTTGTAAATAGCTCTGTTCGATTCCAACAATCGTCTAGATGTAGCTAACAATAATGCTACAGTTAATTCAGCTGTAGCATCTGTTAAAATACCAGGAGTATAACCAACACTAATATTTCTTTTTTTTAAAGCTTTTAAATCTAAATGGTCATGACCAACTGACATAGTGCTAACAACTTTTAATTGTGGTCCTGCAGCATTTAAGATTTCATCATCTATTTTATCTGTTAGTAGACAATAAACTCCATCAACATTTTGTATTTTTGATAACAATACAGATCTTGGAATTGGTTCAGGTTTGTCCCAGAGTATAATGTCACATCTAAAGTAACCCATAGAAAGAAAAATTCATAGAGTAAAGAAATTTTGCATTTAAATTGTTGGCTCGAAACATTTGAAAGTTATATGTATTCATTAAACAATATACAGGCATTTGTTAATAATACAAATTTGCAGTCAGTATCTCAATTTCCTAAAAAGCAACAAAATGATCATATACGGTCTTTCGATCCGATCCCATTAGATTTTTATTTGTGGGATTTGAGACTATTCGGGAAAGGCTCGATATTTTGTAGCGAATGTGAAATTCGATTAGAGGTATGAGAGTAAGAGTGTATTGAGGCACATGGTGGACATTTCGATCATTTTCTTTATAGTCATCCATAACTCGAAAAGTAAAGTAGATAGGTAGGATATTTTTTATTTATTTTATTGTGTAGATTCAGTTTCCTAAATATTTACATGCATTTCTGAAACAATCCGTATAGTTAGAGGGAGTAAAAAACAGTGAGTATGCATGATTGAGATGTAGTTAGCATTCGTGCTCGCAGCTTGCGACTCGCGACTGCGCGATAAGTGGATACACGGCTTAAGAGAGAGAGAGAGAGAACGATTTTGCAAAAACACTTACTGTTCTTGAAGTAAATTTAACCCTGCTTTTGGAATGTCCGGACGAGTGATCAAAACTTTTGGACGGACCATTTTTGTTGAATCGAATGTAAAGAATTTGACGACGTTTCGCGAGGAAAGTTTCAGAACAACTGAGACTGAGAGTAATGCAGGCATGATATAGATCGCAGACTCAACTGTTTAGTGATAACTCGCTTCGCTATTGCTAATGCTCGAGTGCGGGACATGTAAGTTCGGGCAACTTTTAGATATGAAATAGTAAAGCTACCCGTTCGCCTTTTTTCTCATCTTTCCTAAAGCGTGGGGAACTTCGAACAGTTTTTGGGAATCTCGAGAAAAGAAGTAACTGCGAGCCTTTCTTTTTCATTCTTGAAATAAGTTTACAATCCAAACGTAATCTGCATTTTTCATTGCAAATAGTTCACAACATTATTGTTGAAATAAACAGACTCGTACACGTGATTAATTGCGGTTTATATATTTTTCATTATCAAAAAACATTTGAAAAATACATTTTTATGCATATTAAAATATATTTATAACGTATGTATTATATGCAACATACAATGCAGTTTCTATATTTTAAAACATTTGATTTTGTAAGAAAAAAAGAGTAATATGAAATTATGTGGCTACATTTATATTTGGAACAGTTTGTCATTTGATATTGTAATTTGTAAAGTTCACAGTAATAGGAATTGTTAACATAACAATAAATAATTCTTATAAGATTTTTGTGTTTAAGTTTATGCTTATAGGCATGGATAATACTAATTCAAGGGAAATAATACATTTTTCATAGTAATAAACATTGCATTATTTTAAATACTATATTGGTTTGGTAATACAGATACATGGCAGATACAGCAGCAAATAAATAAGATCGGTATTTGGGCATTCCAAAAGAAGCAGATGTAGCCAGCAGTGAACAGTAAGCATGGCCCATACATAACGGATTGATTTAACCCTCGGGCAGTCCTCTGTTTTATTATACACTAATGGTTTTTACAAACGTACTGATATAAACTTCATTATAGTTTTGTCCATAATTAAGAAAGATTAAAAGACCCAAAGAATGCCAGAGGATTAATAAGATTACAATATCTCTATTATCAAATATACATCAGTTTTATTAAGACAAGACTATTTCGTGCTCTGATGATTTTTAGTAGCTACCGAAATTGTATTTTTCATTAACATTGCTACAGTCATAGGCCCTACACCACCCGGTACTGGAGTTATATACCCAGCAACTTTTCTTACATTCTCAAAGTCCACATCTCCTACCAATTTGTATTTATCTCCTATTTTCGTTTTTGTAATTCCAACATCGATTACGCAAGCTCCTGGTTTTATCATCTCCTGAGTAATTAAACCAGGAACACCAGTTGCTGCTATGACTAAATCAGCCATTTTGGTATATTTCTTTAATTCCGTGTGGGGAGTATGGCGATGACAAATAGTCGTAGTCATATTTAAACCATTTCCTTTACCTATGAATTAATAATTAAAACTTTAAATTTTGAAGTTTTAACACAGTGAAATATATATAATTATAGTATTTAAACAACTGTATGCCCTTACCACTGGCATGTAAGAGTAATGCGATTGGTAAACCAACATGTTTGGATCGTCCTATAACCACTGCATTTTTTCCAACAGTATCTATATTGCTCCTAATTATTAATTCTTTTACACCTAAAGCAGTCGCAGATATGACGCAGTTGCTATTTAACATTAAATTACCTATATTTTCTAAGTGAAAACCATCAACATCTTTGTTTGGTGCAATTGCCTGACACACTTCATGTTCATTCATCTGATCTGTTAGTGGTAATTGCACAAGAATTCCATCTACAGTTTTGTCTGCATTTAGATGATTGATTTCTTTAATAAGGTCTTGTTGTGTCATAGTTTCTTCTAACCGAATAGTATAACTTTCAATTCCTAAAACATTAAGAAAACTAATATAATATTTATAAATTTGTAATTATTAAACTTCTTGACACTAATGCAAGCTATCGTGTATGTTACTAATTTTTACTTAAAAAGTTATTAGAATGTTAAAATTTTAAATTGTATCTTACCAATTGCAGTTGCAACTTCCATTTTTCTCTGAACATATACTTTACTGGCTGGATTATTGCCAATTAATATAGCTACTAATTTTGGTCTCTTTTTACCATCTTTTATCAAAGCATTAACAGCTACTTTTAAGTCATTCTGAATTTCATTAGCTATCTGTTTTCCATTTATTATTATAGCATTTTGGCTAAAAGTAATGTAAATTTTGTCTTAAAAATTATAACACTTTCAAAAGAAATTTATCATAAATGTTATAGAACTTTCATGATACTTGTTTATTGTTTGTTTACTTTTAAAATTATATTGGTATTAATTATCAAAACAATATTAATATTATTGTCACGTATGAACATTTCAAGTAATTAATATGAGTTACTTACACAATTTTTGAAGTGTATAAATGTCTTACAGACCTCTGGGAAGCAACTGTTAAAAATGTTTTCCATGGAAACATTATACATAAAACGCAAAATTACTTATTAGTTTGTTCTATGAACTAGTGTCACAGTTACTTAAGAAGCAAGAAATGTCATTTAATTTCTCCCCTGTAACAATTTGATATTATTACTTTCCTTCTTGGAATTGTAATTTGAAATCACGATATCGGAATTTTTGTAAACAATGCGATAAGAATAATGTAATATAACTTTTGTTAAAAACGTATCGATTATTCGATAGTAATTTCTGTCAATTATTGTTCGAATATCTGTACGGTGTTCTCGTGAAAGGTGCTGTCTCTTTTTCTTTTTTAAACGAGTTTCGAGAGTACTTTCTCATTTTTGCAAAGTGTGAGTTAGCGATCATATTGCCAAACAGGTCGGGTTTTAGCACATGCGCCTTGAAAACAGCATCAGTAAAGTACTTCGATTGAGTAAAAACGGGTTTCGAATCGCCCCTTGGTTGATAGTTTTAAACATTTTTTTATAAAAAGAATTTAACAGTATTACACAGCGTTCCGAAGTTAAACATCAACATCGAGAAAAGTGTTGCAAAACCCAAATCATCTCAAGGTAGAGAGAATTCTCAACTATTTTCAATAAAGTAGTAATGATTGTATTTATGTTTTGTATTTATTGATAAAATTAAAGATCTTTAGCTCAAATTCGAGACAATAGATCCAGTTACAAAAATAGACCTGTAAATTTACTAGGTGCAAGTACAAGAGTCTTAAACTAAATTGGGTATTTCGCTTAAACTAGTAACATTTGAAAACATGAACAGAAGTATCACAAATTATGACTGTCTAGCCTATGTCTTATTGTACTTAAAATATACCAGGTACAAAAGCACTTATTCTAATTCTAATATTTGGAAATATTTTTCGATCGCACATGCTTGAGGCGTCATCTAGTCATGAAAACGGCGGACTGTTTCTCGATAAACTTGGATGATCCGCCGTAGATGGCGATGCATCCCTCGTATAGCAGTGCATTCTTGGCTATTGTAACGATAAGCTTCGTATTAATTTTATCAAATAAATTTACGCATCTGATCTCAAGTTAATGCATATACGTTTAACGTGATGTGAAACGATGTTCGTGCACAAAGAAAAGTAGAAATTACGAACGTGTGTTGCAACGTCGGGAAGCAAAAGTTGGCGGTACCTTCCATCGACAACAATGGAAACTATTTCTTGAGAAACTTGGGCATTTTGCAGTTGAGGGCGAAGCTTTTATAAATGAATCAAATTGGTGAGTAGATGTACCAGATTAAGAATTTTGTACTTGTAATAATTAGCACTTGTTAAATTTTAGATTAAGATCTCTATTTCTTCAATAAATACAGAATAATAAGTAGTTTGCATAGATGAGATTGTTTTGGGTTAAGACTTGGTTAGGAAAGTGGTTTTTACATAAGATGAGTTTTGATGCATAGGAAATAATAATGGTAAATGATGTCGAGTCTTTATGGTAATTAGTTTCGATATCATTTTTCATTGTAATTTCTTGGTTCCCCTCGTTGATTCGCGTCGCAGTGTAGCTTTTACTGTTCCCATCGATGCACTTCGGCCTTCTCGTTCATTCTTCCGCTTCTTTTTTTTTTTCTTTATCGACGCATCGTGTCGATAGAAACGCTTTGACGAGTTGGAATGGGGTTGACACTGGAAGACACCGACGGAAGAAGAGGGATTCGATGGCTTAGGAGAAATCGCCGCTAATGGCTCGGTCGAAGGATTTCCTGGCGTTCTACGAGCTTTTTTACGGGGTTTCCGGGAACGCCGATCTAAAGCGCTCACTCAAATCAAGATTCTCACCTTTTCAACGGCAGATGAGGCGGATGGCCAACCGTCCTCGCTTCTGCGCCGTTTTTTCTTCATCCATCTTTCGTCGGCTCGCCTTCCTCGTCCTCGATCCGTACTTTCTTTGCTTTTTCGAGAGTTGAGCCCTTTCAGGACCCTCGGTTTTTTCGTTCGAGCTAAATGGCTAGTTTTTTCGGGGCTCGATTCGTGCGCCGGACCATCTTGTTCTCAAAGGAGGGAAGACCTTTCTTCCCGGTAATCTGAAATTGACGTAATGATGATGGATGCTCGCCGTTGAAATTAACGGCCCTCTGTTCCGTGGTAGGCCTCGCCGCGAAGAGAGATTCGGAAATCGTGACCAAATATAAATACAAGATGGCAGAGTGGATTGTGGAATAGCTGTGAAAGAGGTTATGTCCGAGCAAAAAATTGTTGAAAGGTCTTATAAGTTCACCGATGAAATCGCTGAATCGGTTTTGGGTCGAAAGCAATTTTCTTTAAATAATTTTCAAAAGATCGAGGAGAGAATCGACTCGAAAGAATGTAGAATAGATTCGTGAACTGCGCGGAGTATCTACTACGTATAGAATGTGTGACGACGCTTGGCGCATTCGCCGGCAGAGGGCTACGCTCGACACGTCTCTCTCACAGTTGTTTGACCGACCTCCTATTCCTATATGTACCATTGAACATCCTGGCGTCTTCCCTCTTCATTCGGACAGACTGTACTCGTTCTTAATTCTAATCGCGCAAGTTAGTATTAATATCCCGCGGAACACCTGCTAGAGTAATTAGCAGGTAAAGAGGATTTTCATCGCTGTGGAGTAATATAATACATGTATAGCTTCTCTAATTGGTGGTTATTATACACGGAACATTATATTGGCGTATTGCAGAGAATTGTGAGTAATTAGAGAAGGAAAGTGTTGATATAATAAAGACAGCTCAAAGTTTTTGGGATCAAAATTTCGACGAGAATCGTATACAAAATATATATTTGTAGTGGTAATAGAAAATCGTAATAACAGAATATACCGAAGACACTCGTGTGTCGTTTATGATCGAGAGTTCGAATCACGGGGCTCTCTCAACGTTGCTCGCGTGTCAATATCTAAGTGAAATTCAATAATGCCCGAACAATTAAGGTGGTCTTGCGCATCTAGCGTAGCAAGAACAACACCACCGAGCCAACGGCGTTGGGTGGCTCTGGGGGAGTCAAGGAGTAAAGGGCGATACGGCCGCGTACTCGAGGGGGCGGTGTTGGGTTTTAAAGGGTGGGAAGGATACAATATTTCAGAGTGGCGACAAGGAGCAAGCCTGCTTGCCACTGGCAAATTAATTAAATTCCTACAGGCTCTGGCTGGAAAGGCTAAGGGATGGTCGGCGAACCGGGCAAGAGTTCTGTGTTCAGCCCGTGGGAATATTGTAATTAAGATATGCACTTCTACCCTCCATTTTCCTCGTACAGTTCCCCCGGCCTGCCGCGGCATGATTTACGCTCCGAAGGACGCGGTATTGTCTGTTTCGACTGTTTCTAAATTGCATCCTATTACGGGCAGGTCGAGGTTTATGTTCCGCGAGATGCTTCTTCCGGCCTGTTGCCTGACATGCTTCGGCATCGGCTATCGTTTCACATTATATTTCCAGTTCGAAAACCGGAATGTCTATACCGCGCTCGACTCGTACAAACGTTTTACGCAAACAGAATTATATCACTGTGACATGGTCGAAAATGTACATATGTTGTATTTAAGTTCTATCTATATCTCGAACAAACATAAATACAGGAGTATTTGTGCACAAGTAACTACTTTCGTTAGTATTATTTTCGGAGGGTCAGCACTTACTCGAATTTTTTTCTCGAAAATGAGTAGGATTTTGGGGGTATGTCTGCTCACCAAAAATGATCGTAATTGACCCCCGCAACTGAAAATAATTTTTCTAAAACGATTTGAAACTTTTTAATTTTGTCGAAAAACTTGTCCATCTACTCGAATTTTTTTCTCGAAAGTAAGTAGGAATTCGAGGGTATGTCTATTCACAAAAAATGATTGAAATTTACCCCTGCAACAGAAAATAATTTTTCTAAAATGATTTGAAATTTTTTAATTTCGCCGAAAAACTTGTCCATCTACTCGAATTTTTTTCTCGCAAATGCGTAGAAATTCCGGTGTATGTCTATTCACAAAAAATGATTGAAATTGACCCTCGCAACTGAAAATAATTTTTCTAAAACGATTTGAAATTTTTTAATTTCGCCGAAAAATTTGTCCACCTACACGAATTTTTTTCTCGCAAATGCGTAAGAATTCCGGTGTATGTCTATTCACAAAAAATGATTGAAATTGACCCACGCAACTGAAAATAATTTTTCTAAAACGATTTGAAATTTTTTAATTTCGCCGAAAAATTTGTTCCCTACTCGAATTTTTTTCTCGCAAATGCGTAAGAATTCCGGTGTATGTCTATTCACAAAAAATGATTGAAATTGACCCACGCAACTGAAAATAATTTTTCTAAAACGATTTGAAATTTTTTAATTTCGCCGAAAAATTTGTTCCCTACTCGAATTTTTTTCTCGCAAATGCGTAGGAATTCCGGTGTATGCCTATCCACAAAAAGTAATCGTAATTGACCCACGCAACTGAAAATAATTTTTCTAAAACGATTTGAAATTTTTTGATTTTGTCGAAATTCTATTGATTCCCCAAGATAAAGTTAACGTGGCGGACCCGATTTTAACGCGCTATTTTGGCGATTATTTGCCGATATTCACAAACTACGAGCACGTAATTCCCCGCATTCGGTGGATTCCGGTGCAAAGAGAGAGAGAATAAATGTGTTTCGGTATGAGATACCAGTTTGGATTTCAGCGACCAGCCCCGGCGGGCAAACGCTCAAACGACATCGGAAAATTGGCAGTGCATTTCCGTTCTTGCGAATTATATTCAACAGAGCGTTGCATCCTTTACGTTGAGTCGGTCACGTTAACTCGTATCGTCAACGGGACAACCGCGCATCAAACGCGAAATTTAATTAATTAGGCGGACAAAAGTTCTCGTCTAATCCGCGCGGTGAATATTAATATTGCGGCGTTAATGATCTTGGTCAGGGACAAAGGGACGAATTGTTAAACACGTATCAAACGATATGTAACAAATATCTATCCAAACATTTGTTAAATACGTAGAGGATCGTATTTTCGAAACGTGTTTATATTTTAAAATAATTTAAATATCGAAATTATCGATTGAAAATTAAGCAAAGCAACGTCGTACGTGCGTGCACGGTTCAGTCGTCTTTATCCGGCAAATTGGAAATTAACCAAAGTTCCCTATCATAACCACGTCTCGATTTTAGTTTACATAAACACCCTTTGCCTCAGCGAAGTAGTTCAATATTAACTACAGCAGCACGTTAATCCTTGAATCTTTGAATATAAACGAACGCGACCCTGAAAGGCGAGGAATCTGGTATCGTCATATTATCGAGCATCGTCTCGCGTTCACGGCGTCTACCTTTGTCGAAAAGACTGAAACGTTTAACGTTCGAGGATCGAGAAGATCGCG